AGTTTGTAATTGGGAACACAATCTTTATAAGGCCCAAATCTATTATTTATCTTTTATTTCCTTTTATACTATGTCAGACTTGTAGAGCCTATATAAAGGCATGATTAGGAGACCTTTTAGATTCAGTTTTAGTTTTAGTTTTGAGAGTTTATGTTTTTACAGTTTCTAGATTCAATTGCAATTTACGTTTTCTCTCTTCTACTCTTTTGTTCTTCTTTATTTTCTTAATTTCAATTATGGTTTTTTTACTTAGCTATGCTAGGCTAAGCGTTCTTTAATCAATCCAAGAATTAAGGATTCCGCAGTTGAATCCGGAGGACCTGCGCTTCATCTTGATCCAAATCTTTTCTCTTCCTTAAGCTTCAACTCGGATTCGAGTTCTGCGATTGCACCTAAGGCAAGTGACTAAATATTAGATTTAATGTTTAGGTTGATTAATCCAATGATCTTAAGTCAAACGGGATGATACTCTGCGATTGTGCGAGTAGATGCGCCGTATTGATAAAACGCTAGGCGATCGTCTAGAGAGGGGTTCCTAAGCAATTGCAGGGATTCCGAATTGCTTAGGGTTAACCATAATTTGGTAATCCTTTGTCCAATGATGGATATATTGGAATCCTAATTCTTGGGTTGATTGCTTTTAATTGATAATTTCAGTTTTTAAATCCTTGTTTTTACTTTCTATTTTTAATCGCACAAAACCTCCTTTTTTTACTTTTTGTTTTTAATTGATCGATTAAGATTCTTGGAAATTCCACGAGAGACGATTCAAGTTTCCCACTTTATTACAAATCCTTATTTTTACAAACCTGATTAATTTGAGTGAGTTTGACAGCTCACTTCAAATCTCCAAAACATTTTTCCTCTATTTTTGTTGAGTTTCGTTTCATTTAGTTTTGTAACAAATTATTGCCTTTTTCTCAAAGTTTTCACCTATCTTCCTCCTTCGTCAGTCTTTTGGGTTTCTTCATCGTGTGTCTCCTTGTTCTTGAAGTTTCTCGCAAATTTCTTCTTTCAAGACAATATAAAGTTTATTCTTTTTAGGTATCATTCTCGTTCTTTTTTCTCTTCTTTACTACGTTTCTTGTTTCCTGGGTCTGTGGGGCTATGTCGAGTGATGAAGAGCTGCTGAGAAGACAATTGAAAAGATTTCATACAATAAGGGTGACTCTAACACACCAACACAATAAAGTTATAGGTAGACACTTCTGACGATAAAGAAATGAATAAGTTTTCTGCAAAACACCAAGTTAAAATCAACCATGATGCAAGACCTGCTCGATATATAACACTTGGGCATGTCCCTTGATGGTCATCCAACATCACTAGTTGGCGAAACAGCCGATCAAAAACATATCATAAAAATCATCCACTATAATAAGACGGTCAAGCATAGCTGTTACTTATCTTGACAATCTGATTTCGCAAACTACCAAGCTTGAGGATTCTATTTTGGACCGGCCTACTAGACCCAATATGGAGATTCAGTGCTTGCACACTTTCACAATTTATCCCCCTCTCTCATGCACAAATGCCTCACACACAGGTTAGGACGTGCTGCCTCACATCACAATGGGGCTGACATGGAAAAAAATATTTAGGTTCGCCCTTTCCACACTAGGGAATCCGATCCCCTATAAATGACTCACTCCTCCATTGAGGTATCTAGATATTATATGAGATACTTGATGACAAAGTATTTGTAGTTATTCTTGAATGAGACCATACCTTATGCCTATGATGATGGTGGAAAGAAAGCTTATACGACTTACCTATTTCCCTTTAAATAATAAAAATTTCAAATAAAGTTGGTTGAGGATGATAAACAAGCCTTATCCTCTAGTTTTGCAAGATTAAAGAATGAATGCAGTTTTGATGTCATAATCAAATTATATCAGATTAGTCCACAGGAACAGATACATCTCAATGTTGTTTTATAGAAAATACTTTATGAAAGCTCTGATGTCATGGGGAGCTCATTTATTGCCTCCAAGGCTTCACGTGATGGTAGTGGTCTAGGAAATTGCGATAGATATTATTGGAGACTTCATCCGGCTTGGATATTAATGTTTCAGCTTCCTATGAATAAATTTTGGTTTATGATATTATTGAAAAATAATTTAATCTCTATATATATGTCTAAGCCCCTCGATTATCTAGATTGTATTAAGGTTGAGTAACCTTTGAAAGGAGTGAAGGTATAAGTATTATGTATTTATAAAGATTGTAATAAAAGGTACAAATTATCTCGAGTCACAAAACAACAACTTAAAGACTTAATGTTTACTCATATGGGTGAAAAAAAGTGTCTAACCCGTTAGGTTACCTTGTTTAACCCGCCTATTTTGGCGAGTTATATTGTACTTTTCAACCTATTAATCCAACATAATCCCCTCCTTATGAAGGTAGGTTAAAGTGTGTCAACTTGCAGTTTAATTATTTTTTTTTTTAATGTAAGGTAGAAAGTATGTTTCATTTGTCATGCCAAGCTTTTATGGTATTTAAGATTTTTATCTCAGTAATCATCTAAGAAGATGGAGAATAAAACACTTGATTTATGAAAAAGATTATCCATAGGACGGAGACAAAAATGAGTGTCTTCTCCTTTTGTTCTTGCAGAGAAAAAAATAAGATATACTAATATACATTGATAGATATTTGATCTCCGTATAGATCGAGTATTGACATATATTTAGGCTCGAGATTGAAAAAAATGAACGTGAGTATAGGTTGAAATTAAATAATATTATAAAACTCATTAAATAAGGTCTATTTTTAAATTTTTTTATTATTTAAATAAAATGATCCGCCAACTGCCCAACTCATTATAAAATAAAGTGGATTATATTTTTAACCCATTTTTTAAAGACAGCCAACTCGACCTAACTATTTTGAGGGGATCAGGGTGGATCGATGATTTTTTCTTCTCTGTTCCTTAAATATTTTTGAAACATCATTGAAGATTTTAGCGTAATAATTTCGTATATCTAATCAACCACTTGCCTGATACCAGCGTGTCATCTTATGTTAGAAGATATTTTTGATACATCAAATGTACCAAATACTCAGTATATCTTTTAACAAAGGATTTTATTTTTTTCATGTTGTAGGAGATAAGTATCTCCTACAATAGATACATAATATGGTGGAGCCCACCATCCATTAAAAAAAGAAAAAAATGATGTCATAACTTTTTATGTGAGAGAAATATGAGATAGTTATCTCATGTAAAATGAGACAATGATTTCCCTTTAACAAATATAAAAAGCAAAAAATTATATTACAATTGTTTTTATTATGGTTATTTTGTTTCATATTCTCTCTTTTTTCGTTTCGGAAAAAAAGAATGGGTTTATCATCTATCATTTAACATGACCACAAAAATTTTTCTACACACACAACATTTTGTGGGGCCCGCAGCAAAAAAAAAAAAAAAACTTCGGCATGCAAAACAAATCTCTATAACATAACACAATCATTTTTCCTACAACATAAATCTTATAAAACCCAAAAAGAATAGATGCTCCCTCGACATGAAAATGTGCTCCTCAGATTAATACCCCTTTATATATAGGGAAAAGTGTGTGTCCTTTAAAAGGACACACACTTATGTCATTTTAGGAGAGAGGTAGACATAAAGAGGTGAGTCTCACACTTTTATGTTATTTTTTATTTTTATTTTTCAGTGAGATTCACACCTCTTTATGTCTACCTCTCTTCTAAAATGACCTAAGGGGGCATTTGGTAGATGAATTTTTTTTTATCAGGGAAATACAAATATTAGAAATATGGGGGAAAAGTAAGTTTGATAGGAATGTTAAAAAAAATTTGTTTGGTAAGCCGAAATATTATCAAAAAAATTAGATTAAATTTTTCGAGTATATGTTTGGTTGAAGGTAAAATATTGATTGAAAAATGGGATGAAATTACCAAACTAACCATTGACTAAATGCATTCCAACTTTCTTTTGGCACATTTTTTGAGAAGGGATATTTGTATCTATTTTTTTTCCTACATTTTGGTTTGATGGGGTATAGGTGGTATTCTAAAATGATAAATTTTTTCAATTTTACGCACAAATTGAGATTGCTATGTAAATCCGAATGATTGACAAATTTTTTAAACCTCCTATCAAATATGGTCAACTAGAAAATCCATCTCAACTTTCCTAGGCATCCAAAAAAAACTCTCCTACCAAACTTTACTAAGTGTGTCCTTTAAAATGATAGATATTTTTTTCTTATATATATTGTTTAAATGAATAATATAATATAAAAAAAAAATAGGATGTGGAAAGAAGAGATGGGCATGCCATGTGCAAATCCCGCATGTCATGTACCCACCGGCCAACATCCACATTATCATGCCCATCCAATCAACGACATCCAAGTGGGGCCCTCACCCCTCTCACATGCGCTTGTTCCCATACGGATCCTCGTGATCGAACGCTCCTGGATTCACTCCTAAAATCCCACAACCCCAATCTGAGCCGTCCGTTTGTGGTCCATGTTCTTCACTATCATTGGCCGTGGTTGTTGCTCCGTTGTCCCTTCTCCCTTCGACAACCTGCTCCATCGTGTCCTTCATGTGACAGACAGTCATATCTGTCGTTGTCCCAATCGCCGATGCATCAACCGTGTGGAGTAGGTCCCACATCCAAAATGCTGCCCTGTCAACGTGTGATTGGTGGGGTGAGCAAGCGCGCGTCACAGGCGACGGTCGATTTTATCCTCCTCGGTTTGCGGAATTCATGCACCAAGAGAAATGAGTGTGGCTACATTTATTGCTATGTACCTCATTAACATTGCTATTAAATTGATGAGCTCACACCACATCTTCTTCAATCAATCTCTTTCTCGCTTTATATATATCTCTCTCTCCTTCCTAAAGAATCGTAAATCAGAATTGAACAAAATTTGGATTTGGAATTGAAGGTGAACCTATAGATATTATTAAGAACAACATATATATTGTGTATATTACAAGCAACTCATCGAGAAATGGAGAATCCAATGGGTAGCTACGAAACTGAGCTGAATCTCAAGGCCACAGAGTTAAGGTTAGGATTACCAGGCAGCGATAGTTCATGCAGTGGCTCTGTTGTTAGAAGCAACAAGAGATCTTCACCGGAAGCCAGTACTGTGGAAGAGTCCATGTGCAAGAGCAATGTTAATTCTAATGCTTCTGACTCCACTTTAACCATAAGTGATCATGACCAAGATTGTGTCCAACCTGCAAAGTAAGTGATTTATATATTTTAATTGTTTTTTTTTTCTTAACAGGATAGAAAAATATCAATATGAATAATGAGTTGGATTTGAATGTTGGTTAAAATGTTTCTGTTGAATGTTTGGGTTAATAATGAATGAAAATTAATGGATTGCAGGGTACAAGTAGTGGGATGGCCACCAATTCGATCTTATAGGAAGAACAGTGTACAACAGAAGAAGAAGGTGGAACAGAGTGATGGAGCTGGAATGTACGTGAAAGTGAGCATGGCTGGTGCACCTTACTTGAGGAAGATAGATCTCATGGTTTACAAGAGCTATTCAGAACTCCTCATGGCCTTGGAAAGTTTGTTCAAGTGCACTTTTGGTAAGAACCAAGAACAAACAACAATCAATTTTTTTTATTTTTTTTTTATTTCTAGCTTTTAGAATTAGTTTTCAAAGATTTGGATAAAAGAAGTTATTACAAATAAGAAAAAAATAAAATGGAAACTTGGGCTTGTGAATTAATAATGAATGATTTATGGTTAATTATGATCCAGGTGAATATTCAGAAAGAGAAGGGTACAATGGATCCGAATATGCTCCTACTTATGAAGACAAGGATGGTGACTGGATGCTGGTTGGAGATGTTCCATGGGAGTAAGTTCTTCCTCTCATCTTCTTGTTTTATTTCCTTTATTATAATTTTTTTTTTATTATCATATCTCTGTGATAAATATTTATTGTTGTATATATATTCTCCATCTTATAGAGCTGTTTGTTGCTTATATTAATTGCAGCATGTTCATGTCCTCATGCAAGAGGCTGAGAATAATGAAAGGATCAGAAGCAAAGGGGTTGGGTTGTTTATGACCGGTCGACATAATTTATCAAAAACAAAAGCGAAAGAATGAAGTAAAACACACATAGTGAGATCTTCCAAGACAGTTTCCCTTTGTGCTGTGCAAGCAAGAACTTGGTTTCTATGAGAAGTATATATATAGCTTATATAAAGGACAGACGGATATATACACACTTTCTTTTTTCCTTTATTTATTTCAATAGGGGGCTTTGAGGCCTGCTTCCTTAATTACAGTGATCTTCTTGTAAATCCTACTGGAATGGAAAACAGAAATATAAGAGAAAGAAAATAAAAGAACTAATGTTATTTTAATTATATAGAAGATATAATATCTCATTTTGCCCTAGCCAGATCTGTTTATTTACAAGTTGTGTATATGTCTAGATTTCTTTATTCTTTTTCTTCTCCTTTAACAACAACAAATCCACAAATCCGCATATATACTAACAAAAAATATTTATCCTTTTAAATAACACAATTTATATTCTTTCACTCTCACAAAGAGGTGAGACTCATATTTTTATTTTTTTTGTCAAGTCTCTCTCCTTTTTTATCTATCTCTTTCTCTCTATTAAAATAACACAATTTTACATCCTTTAAAATGACATACATTTTTCTCATAAAGTAAAATAGGGGTTTGATCTCATGTAGTGACTCAACTACTGATGGGTCTCATATTTATTAAAAAATAAATAAAAAATTACACTCAAATCGAAGAGTCACAACATGAGAATTGAATTCTTATACAACATATGAAAAAATATTTTTCAAGTAAAATAACAAAATTATTTGTCCCCATGTATTAGTTAACGGTATATTAACTTCAGAAGCCACTACTATTTTGATAATGATTTTTCATATTTACTATTTTATATTTATTTTTACTTTTGTATGATTATAATTTTTTATATTTAATGCTTTCACATTTAATATGGAGAATTATAACTATACAAAAATAAAAATAAATATAATCATTGAATCAACATAATCGATTTAATGATAAAATTGATTGATAATAATCTTAATTGATTATTATAATATTCTACCTTACGTAGGCAAATATATTTTCATCCAGTTCCAAAAAATGGTTAATGAAGTTGATAAAGTAAAGTAGAAGTAGAACATGTTAATCAAGCAAGTAAAACCACATAATGTTCCTTTTTTTATATTTCTTCACAGTTATCGATTATTAATTAATTCGGTCGAGTTAAGCATAATCACAAGGACATAAAAAAAGTTTATATCAAATTTTTAATAAAGCTGTGTAACCAGAATTTGTACTCGAGAGTCGAGACCATTAACCCCATACCAATTGATCCATCTGCTTCACCGTGGAATCAAATTTGAAGTAAGGTAATATTTGGCAAAAGCATTTAGAAAGACAAGAATTCATCTGCAGCCACCGTACTGTTATAATATGACACAGTCATCCTAACAAAAACGTCAAAGATAAAAATAAAAATTTATGATACTGGAACGCTATGAGCCTAGGACATCAATCAGGAATATTTTTATTTTTATTATTTGGATAGAAATCTATTCTCACCAATGTGATCGCTGATGCCACATAGACATAGGTGTATGGGAGAAGTGATTCCAAATACAATTGCAATAATCAACAGGCAAGCAAATACTTTTACCAAACATTTGATTCGAAAAGGAAATAGCTACGGGGAGTGTTTGGTACAAGAAATATTTTTTTTACCGAGAAATTTTTTTTTCAAAAATATAATAAGAAATTTTTTTTCTCGGGTAAGTTATGAAAAAATATTTGGTAGATCAAAATTTTACCGAAAAAGTTGAGTTAATTTTACTAACGTTATGTTTGGTTGATGATAAAATATTGATAAGAATCTGAACTAAAATAACCAAAATACCCATCTTTTTGAATATTGTTAAGGGCATTTTAGTCTTATAAGTGTTAAAATGCTTTTGCCTCTTAGGTGGTGTTTGGCTGGGGTCTTTCCAAAATTTTCCTAAACAAGTGAGAGAAGGATTTCAGAATAGAAGTGTTTGGTTCAGTAGATTCAGGCAAAAAGCCAGTCATCCAAAATGCATAGGTTTTTCAATTTAAATGAAAAAGCCAGCTTTTGGTATTGTTTGAAAAGCTTTTTCATATGTGGTTTTTTGAAAAACCAGCACAAATCGGTTTTTTGAAAAGCTTTCCGTCTTTAATAAACGAGATTCTGAAGTAGAACAACAAGACATGAGAGATAGAACTCTCTCAACTTGTGTTTCTCTCTCTTAGAAACATAGGGTTATTTTAGTAATTTAAGATTGTTTTTCCATCTATATCTCACTTCCAACCAAACATACATTTCCTAAAATTTACCTAATTTTTCCAGTAAAGTTTTTCCCCATCAAACAACTTTTTTTAACATTTTTCTATCTATCTCACTTTATCTAACTTTCTTACTATTTCTCTATCAATTCTATTTCTCTAGTGTTCAAAAAAAATTTCCTCAACCAAACGCCCCCTTACTAGGAAAAAAAGAATACCATATGTGGGAGAGGAAAGTTTTTTAGCAATGTATAATAGAAAAAGGGATTCATGGGGAAAAAATATTCTTAGATTATTTTACTTTTTCTTATACCAAACATGATAGAATTTTATGTTTATCATTTAACATAATATAACTTCACTTTCCTACACACACATTAAAGAGATGGGGTCCACATATTTTTCTTTCTCTTTCATCATTCCACTTTCTCTCTCCCTTTTGATGTGAGAGTTGGAAACAACACTTACATCATATTACATAACACTAATAAAACCCAAAATGATAATTTTATTTCCTCCACCCCACTTCTCCATCATTTCATTCAAAAACCTCATACCAAACAGCCTCTACAGCTAAATTATATGCACCCTTCCTTTATTTACAATATTAATTAACAGTTTACCTTGTTTTTCCTATGGATTGAGTTATGAAAGTTGGTTCCGAGTATAAACTAACGTATCTGATTAATACAAAACAATAACTCTTCTCAAAGGATAGTCCCCTATATTGAGATATGGGCTTTCTCAGAGAGCCCTTGGACCCTTTTGAAAAACCCTTTTGTTTTTAGGGAAACATTTGAATTGTAATTGATGAGCCCTTGCTTTTGCCAGATTATTATTGACACTACGAATTCGAGATCGAATATGTTAACGTTGAAATTAGTGCCAAGTTGAAAATATGATAATTATGGGTTGACACGTGCAATGTTGTGTGGCTAAGTTTATATGAGGCCACAGAGCATGAATGAATGAGATTACAAGTCTCTTGGACATGAATAATACCCACTAATTCCTAGCTTTGTGATAATTGTGCCCCGATTAAAATAAATATTATCACTATATTTCTGCTTTTAAATTATTTAAAAAAACTGATATTTTTCCCAAATATAACATTAATCCATCCTACCATCATTTGATAGTTCAGTTGGTACATGAAAGTTTAGGTACAAACTTATTAGGTTTTAATGATTATTTGATTCTTTTGTTCCTGAAATTTATTATTTGTTGGCTGGGGCACTTTTTGGAGTTTTTCGACCAATCCTATTGGTTGTTTCCAATGCAAAGGCAGACATACAGTTAGTATGTTACTCCTAATTTTAAGGGAACACAATCAAGAACCTCCACATGGAACCGGAATGGGACATGATCACTTAGTTATTGTGATACGAGCGATGGATTTTCCTAATAAGTGCTTTGCCTGTTGTCTTTGTCTTGAATATTATTTCACTAATTTAGTAGAAAATTAGAAATAGCTTTAAGGGATCCGTACACAGTGAAGATCTAGCAGGAACCAAATTAATCCAAATTTCGGCTGTACAATTTTTGTTGAAATAGTTATGCAAATGATGTCTCTACAAAGAATTCGGCAAAGACCAACGTCATACCTTATTAGGACTACTAAGCATTCTATGTATATGCTTGGCAGATTTTGTTACCCAAGTCAAGGAGCTACTTCTTGGAAATTTATAGAGACTATAAGACAAGCAAAAAGACAGTTTTCTTGAAAGAATAACTATGAATATCCATCCCCCTTACACTTATATAATTTTCACCGTCTAATTATATTAATCTTACATCATTTTATGTACACCTAAACTTTGATTTTACTACATCACTAGATGGGAGAGGTGAGAGGTAAATAATTAACTACATCACGCAGTGTTCTTAAAAAATAGGTATGCAATCTTTCCTGCAAGAAAAGGGTTTGTAAGTATTTGTTTTGCCAAAGTGAAACGGAAATAAAACATTTCGTTACATCAACCCCACAAGGAAAAGAGTTTACTTAAAGCGAGACTCCCTCTTCGAAAGTTGTGAGTAGTGAACCATTCCGGTATCGTACAAAGATGAGTTGAGAAAAAGACCTAACAATCGCTTGAGTTAAATAAGGTTAAAGCTAATTGATTGATATGGATTGTGCGAAGGGAGCCCCCACTCTTTTCCTTCCATCTATATCGAATGGATCAAAATCCAGTAATGATTCAGGAGAATCAGAAAAAGTCGTCTAATTACTTTTTGAGTAAACAACTCACGCACACCCTAAACAAACAAAAAGCACCATCATTTTCTGCTGGACTTGGCAACACCCAGCTTTCTTCAAGCAAATAAGATCCATTCCACCTCTGCATTTAAAATCCTCTAGGGTTACATCACTAATAAAAATATACACACCACTCTAACCTTTTGAAAGGTCCCACAGCCCACTACAAAAACTAAGCCCCACTACAAAAGCGCTTTCATCATGTTCCACTAGCACCACCCATTGATACAAAAAGAGAAGAGCATATATCAAGTTAACTTTTGACAATTTCGTCCTCTTTGCTTGAAACTTGTCAAGACAAGATAGGGGTCTGCTTGTGTTTTCTAAGGCATGGACATCGACCCCTGTATTGACAAAAGCTGAAAGAAAGGCAAAAAAGAAAGAATTATGGAATCTGACTTTGATTGCAACTTGATATGCTCGCCAATTACTTAATTATGGCGGTTTGGAACAGATAAATAACTCGTGGGTCCCAGCAGTACTATGTGAGCCCTTGATGGGACCAATAGATTGTGCACTATGTGCCTGAGGTCTAAGAAGGAGGATTAGTTTCAGGCTTGACTATACTAGAGGTGTCCGGTGGTTGTGACTGGTATATTGCTGATGCCAGTGAGATGGGCATGATGCAGAGTGCCTTTGTTTGAAGAAATTGCATGGCAGCCCCAACATTTTCTTCCATAAGCTTAGCTACCTGTCTTTCTGTGCCATCATTTGACCACTTGTCCCAAGCTGGTCGGTTTCTCGCACCTTCACCGCCTTCTTCCTGATCATCGCTAAATTTGTTAAATTGCTTTAAAAGATAAAAATAAAAAATTTCCAACTACCCATTCTTCACAATAATTACCTCGACTGATGATAATGGGATGTCAGTTACCAGTGGTGCCACTGCACCAGCTCCGCCCAATCTACTCATGCTTAAAACCTGAAAGGCAGGTGAATTAGCAATCATTGGAAGTCGTTTGCACGGCTACAAATTCAAATTTGAACCGAGAACAGTCTTTTGCTTTTGTATTAATATCATGGATCAAACAGCAATCTGTAATCCACCAGACCCTTAAAAATTATCACGAAGTTAAAAGTAACTATAGTGCATTAAGAAGCCTGAAAATGCTATCATTTCATTGTATTTAGATATTCCCTAGTCTTCAGGAATAATATATGTAGGCCAATGGATTCTCATCCAAAGTGGCACCCACCCTATTGTGTGGTTCATGATCATGAGTTGAATCATAACTAATTGATCTCAGTTGGGGTGGGGATAAAAATGCATAGGTTAACAGATTTAACTGGAAAAACCCACAAAATTATAGAAGTCAATTTGAAACTGTCATTAATTACGCATACTGAGACCTAACTAGGAAGATGAATGAAAATAAAAGCAAGATACGTGAGGAGCACAGTAGCATTTTACCTTCACTTGAAGCCTTAGGAACTTCACATAATCCACAATTTCATCTAACATGGCAGCTCTATCTGTCTGAACATAGTAGAAATGCACCACAATATAAGAAAGAAGGGAATAATTCAGCATTATTTATCCTTTTTACAAACACTAGCAGTCATATAAAGCAGAGCAACACTGCTATCACACATATCATACAAAACATACCCTGCTTAGAAATCCAGTAGACTTATTTCATACTTCAAGCACTCTTAAAATTTCATGCACCAAATCAGAATTTATGCAGATGTTATTCCACTTTTTTACCCCCTTTATGAGAAGCAAGTTTTCCTTGATTAATTATACTCTTAAGAAACAATGAATTGAAAATGGATCAAAAGATTTTATATATAAATGGACAAACTCAAATCGAAAATGGATTCAAGAATTCAACCAGTCTATATGCAGATGCCATGTTCTAAACTCAAAGCATAAATTTGCACAAAATTAGTTGTCAAGATGGTATTAAAAAGTTATCTACATAAATTACTTTATATAAATAAATCCCCAAACATAAAATCTATGGCTTTATAAACATATATTGACTGGAAAAAACAAGAACACTAAGCATAAATTGAAAATCTTCCATACTCTATAATAATGCCTACTTCCTTTTATTGTATGTTCTATCTAACCTCCATAAAAGAAGAAAGACAAAAATGCAGAGAAAGGGGGAAGGGTGTCAAGAAATTTACGTTTTGAACAACACAATTCATTCAGCCAAACTCCACACATTGTACAAAAGTTGGTTCAGCTTCAACAAACTCATTATATATTTAGGCCTTATTTAAGGAAAAAAGCTCTTTGATGAGCCAGGAGTGTTTTTTACATGAAAAGAACAACCTATTTTTTAAAACTTAAACGTTCATAATACAGTTACACAAGAAATGAAATCTGATTAATTGTATATATATTATAAAAGATAGACACAACGTATGAAATGCAACAGTGTCAGTGGAGATGGTGATGTGCTGAACAAGTGCGTAATGAACAGTATCTACCAAAACAGAAGACAGATCAGTCAAAGGCACACCTTGAAAAACACCATTTTCAGTACCATTTTATGTTTTTTGGAATAATTGATGAGTAATATCATTTATATTTGCAAAGATATGAATGTACTTAAACTCAAATTGATCATAAACTATGTATCATTATCATGTCAGCAAGCTGGAAAGTGAAGGGGACAATCATAGGTACATCTTCTGTAAATGTTTGTCTGATACTCTATCTTTTCTAACTATTCATACTAAACCTTACATAAATCCCTTACTTTTCCGAAGACTATTTCACTCTTGCTAAAGACAAATGCAAAACCACATTTTGTTATAAAATGATATGCCAGAGAAATCATACCTTGTTGACACTTGGAACCAGTTCTTGCAAAGCCCTGATTCTTTCTGCTATTCTTTCTCTGCGTAACTGCAATCAAAGGGTAACAAGAAGACAAGAGAAAAATGAGGTACAAACTTAACCCCCAATTTAAATGCTGAACATCATAACCAGCAGATAGTATGAAATCATGCAAATATCCTGAAGCTCACCCGTTCAGCTATGCTGTGTGGATCTGTAGCCTGTCCTCTTCTAGCCCGCACCCTAGGACGCATTGCTGGAGGATGTGGAGCAGCAGGAATAGAGGTAGGCATGGGTTGCCCATGAAAAACCTGCAAAAAGGTTATAGATTATCAGCAGCAGGAGAGAAAAAATGCTACTTGATCAACTCCCCCTCTTCCCTCTCAAAGACAAAAAATAAAAAATAAAAAAATCAGTAAGGATAAAGGAGAAAAGACAAAAAGGAGAAACCATTCATACAAGGATTACTAAAAGTCAAGTAAATATATACTACATGATTTAAGAGGTTCAAAGATCCCAGAAAAGTGACGATAAGACCTGATCCAAAGGTATAAATAACCTAACTTCCACTAAATCATAACCTTAATATGTTCAAACCAATCCATGAAACGTATAACATTTCCAACAGGCTTGAATTTTATTTTATTTTTTAGGTACATCAACAGAATTTAAATCACTTAAGGTTGACCTCCAATCTTGCTCTGTCCAGATCTAACCCTTGTGCATAATTCATTCATCTTCAACTTGTATTCTTAGTCTTGTGTCAATTTCCAAAGGTTTTACTCCAAGTCAACTGCTAAGCCCTAAATGGTGTTCCATTCACACCAAGAACAGAATTTCAGCGAGACCTGTTGTTTATGTCAATGGCAAGCTGGCTATCATCAACAAGCATACACCACACAAATCTGTCAAAATGTAACTTGAAGAATCTCGTTTATGAGATTCTTTTATTTGCAAAGAAATTACCATTCCACTACTTGGGTATTATTTTCATTAAATTTTAAAATGTTTTGTTTGCTTTATACAGGCTATGTAATGATGGTAATTTGATCCTGGCTAATATAAGCTCTCATTTTTGTTTCACACAATAATATCTCCCTTCCCACCTTCATTTGAGTGGAATTCTATGTCAAAGTGAGTCCCATTTGTTAAACAGCAGTCACATTTTTCTGTATTTTAGTTCTTGTTTACTACACAAAAATGGATAAGCACAAAGCTCAAAACTCTGCCTCTTACAGGCTTCTAAACATTCCCTTTTCTCCTTCCCTTCCCTGTCACGTCAGCTATTAAACAAAACAAGAGAATCAGTTCAATCAAATAGGATCACCAGTTCATTTCATCCTTCACTAAAACCACACTCATGGTACCCCAGAATGGTATAAAATTAAATACACCAGAATAATCAAAGCACTCTCCAAGAAATAAATAAATAAATAATAAAAAAATAAAAACTCATATTATACTGAAACAATAGAAGCACCGAGCTCACTTACAATTGAAGATCACATCCCATAAGAGGGTAATTTTTTCTTTCTTTTTTCATTTGTGAAAGTATTTTAGCCATGATCACACAAAAACAACAACAACAACAAAAAAAAGAACAACTGGTCTTACATTCTGAGCTCTACCATCGATGACGTCGTCGCGGAAGCGTTTCCCACTACCGGAGGCATCCTCGGGCTTCAAGCTCAACCCCAACTGGTACACCGGCGAGTGAAAGGCAGCGCCGGCGGCGAGGTGGGGGTTAGCATCGGCGGAGTTGAGCTGCAGCATCATCGGAGGCGGAGAAGCCGTACCGGCCAAGGTAGAGTCGCCGGAAGCGAACGTCGGGAGGCCAAGGATCTGTTCGAGGAAGTCATCGCCGGGAGCCTCGGAAGGGTTATTCGCCATGAGCTGATGCTTGAGCTCGGGCGAGTCGAGTTTGAGTTGGGATAAACGAGTTAAGGACTCAGTTGATACGCATAAGCAGAACGTAGATGCAGCAAAAGAGAATTTTGCAAGTTTTCAGGGTTTGGTTTTGTTGTTAAGCTCTGCTTATTTTCTACTCAGTAATCAGTTTCCAACACACACCCCTTGGAATCGAAGAAACAAGGCAATGAAAGAAGTGGCTTTTATCCTGCTTCAAAAAAGCTTCTCTTTTTCTCAAAGGGCCTTTATCTTTCCTCATTTACAGGCCCACCCATCTTTTCACTCAGTGTGGAACCTCTGAATAGCTGTTATTTTTTATTTGATTCTTATACCAAAAATATTTTCAATTTAGTCCTCATGCGTGTAATTATTTTCAGTCTAGTTCTTGTCATGTGATGATATCAAAATAACGTTTATTATAACAAGTGAAGTGTAAGACCCAATTGAAAATGAGTATCATGAATACAAACCAAAAATATTATGTTTTGGTCCCCATACGAGATAATCATTTTCAATTTAATTCCTACGATAATTCCATGTTAATATCACAAAATTATAATATCAACACACAGTAGAGACTATATTGAAAATGATCGGACAGATAAAAATTTAATTTAACTTTTTTCGTATAAGAATCAAATTAAAAAATAAGTGACCAAAATTATATATTAACCTATTACTTACTATCCCGTTAAATTTAAAATCAATTTTTTGTATTAACTTTATTTTATTTTGAATATTGCTAATATAAGGCAAGCATTTCCATCCGCCTATATTTTAATGTTTGTTGATTTCCATAATATTTTATGTAATTTTATTATCATATTATACGTTTATATTTCTTATTTTATATAGTATAATCAATAACTCATTAGTTAAATCATGACCCATTAGCGATAATTTGTTATTTTCGTGTCTTTGTTAATGATATTCGTATTTGTATACATTAAAAGGGGACATAAAAAAATTTGTGCGACTTGTTAACTCGAATTACCACCTCACTACACCCAAAACTATCACTATACTCTACCAATCAATCTTTCTGTACAAGTACAATTGGTATTAACCCACTAACAAACTTTTGATGCGGCACAATTCTATCCTTTCATTAAAAATAGCTAACCAGTAGTAAAATTGTTTTCTAAAATCCTTAAAAGTAAGTTATTTTTTTACAAACTCAATTTGATTTAGAAATAGCTACCTCACGCTATTTTTTTTTTTTTAGTGTTGAGTGTCCCCACTCTATGGGATGAGATTAATTTGTTCGTGGCTTAAAGCGTAACAATTTTTATTACTAGTTTCAAAATACTTCTTGTAAAAATCGAATTCATGACTTCATCAGTCACAATAACATAACTTTTAAGTTACAGTCCACTTACCCAACTGAGTTACAATTACTTTTGGTACGGATAAAAGTTTAAATGAATTAACTATAGGTGGACCACTGGATCTAGAGTCAGACCCAATTGAACTTAGATGCATTTTTTTTAATATATATATATATATATATATATATATATATATATATATGTTTTCCACTCCTACAGTTACATGACGATAATGTAGAGTTCACAATAATATTTTTCAACATACTTACTTTAAACAAGCCTAATCACATATTTACCAGGTAGCAAATAATTGTTTATTCAATTTATTTTCCCAACGCAGTGCATGTGTATTTTATAAGATAACAACTTTGATAGTCTAGCATGTTTATTAACAGGGGTGATATCCCAAAGGCATACTCTATGGCGTTACTTGCTGGAGAAATTTTTTGAATATTAAGAAAATGCAATTGATAGAAAAATAGTTGGAAAGTGAGTTTGGTAGAAAAATATAAAAAAAAAGTTATTTGGTTAGAAAAAATTTAACCGGGCAAATTAGGTAAGATTTATAAAGTCTATGCTTGGTTTGAGGTAAAATATAGATGAAGAAATAAGTGACAATTACGAAAATGTTCCTATTTACATAAATCTACAACTTCACAATTAGTTTTCTAATACAAAATGGAGGGTCACTTTGGTCACAATTTTCATTCTCAGTTTTTTACTTTCCTAGTTTTCCATAAATACCACATCTCAAGAGGTATTCTTAAACAGTGAATTTGAGCACAAAATCAACTGAAATATGGTTTCCTATGCAAACTTCTTTCCTAGACTTTTTTTTCATAAACTTGTACCAAACATAGCATTTTGGGATACCTATCCACACTTCTCCATCTATCCCAAAAGAAAACCTCAACCAAACACACCCTTTATGTAATCTGCAAATTTTGGCTGGAACCAAGGAGGTATTTGGTATAGGTTTTCTATTTAGATACCTAGGTAACTTCAAGTGGTATTTTCATCTTACCATGTTTGGTACAATAGTTTTGTAAATTTAACCAGCGAAATCATTTACCCATGCATGATGAATCGTTTGCAAAATTTGATGTAAAATACTGTTTCAAAAAACCAGAAGGAGGGTGGTATTTCTGGTTTAGATGGGAAAGGAAGAAAAGCTTATTGGTCTTATACCTGATTGGTCCTCTTTTGCATAGGTTTTGCAACATCAAAAATAATAAAAATGTCCTTTTTTGTAATTTATACTCATTATTTCATCAATTTTTACTTCAACCGAACATAGATTTTGTAAATTTAAATCAACTTTCTCAGTATTATTTAACCCTACCAAACAACTTTTTTTTCACTTTCCTACCAAACTTATTTTCTTATTATTTCCCTAGTAATTGTATTTCCTTAGTAAAAAAAAATATTTATTCTACCAAACGCCCCAAAAGTTGAGCCTAAATAAATAGGAGCTTCGTGTTTGACTCAGTTGTTCTCGATACATCCCAGTAACAATGCCTAGGCAGCATCAATGTCTATATGTATGCATGTCGTACAAATTGGAAGCCATTACACCCGCACAATATATTATGCACAAACCGAAATATGAAAAGCCAACTAAAAGGTTAGGTGATACAAGCATATATGCAACACAAATATTAGATAATGAAAGCCAACTAAACAGTATAAATCATGACTACCCCCATTATTTGGTAGTAAGACTGTAAGCTGCGGTTAATCCTTAATCTTCTCTACTTCTGTACTACTTAATTACCTACAATTTTATTTGATTTTTATTTTATTTTTTAGATTTTTACATCGGTTTAACAATGATTTGATTAATCGGTCGAGCTAACACGATTGAAAGAATGGCAAAACTCTCCTTACCAATTTTTTAATGCAGTTAGTTGTATATTCAAAATTAAAACCCTGAGATCACTATAAAACAACCTTGTAACCGGTTAGTCCATGTATTTGTGGTCACTGTCCTAATCTCGGATAAGCAGTTGCCTGACAGTGTGTATTGCATGAATGTAAGGCAGATGAAGCCAAATCGTGTGTATAATGATAGGCATGTGAGCCTATTCAGCTCCTAAAGCAGCATATAATTGTCTCAAGTTGTGCATGTGATCAATAAGCCTTGGTAACAGTGGGTACCCAGCTATTCCCTCCATCATTTTCTTGTACCCTGTTGTCTAAGTACGAAAGTGAAGATAACATGATTGTACCCACCTCAGGCACCGAATGAGTAAAAATTTAGAATACTGAAAGATGACCCAAAATAAATGTGTAAACAATACCATTCTAGATAGATGTGTGGTCAAGATTATCAACCCTCTTCGGGTCAAAGGGCCATGATTTATGATTGATATGCTTCGAATTTCATGACGAATAGCATCTAGCTGAGCCATTGTGTCCTGCAATTCCGTACGAACCTAGAAGTACAAAATATGTGAATACTACAGAATGTAGGTTTGGCTAATTCAATGCCATTACTAAGTACTGTTATGGATCACAATCCTTTGATGGAATATAAGACATGCTCCTACTTATGTGAAATTATCCTCTTAAGAAAATAAAAGTGAATCACATGCAGTTTCAGTTTTAGGCTGCCAAATTATCTTCTTTTATTTCTTTTCCCACTTCCTCACATAGAAATCCATAATATATTTTCTTTTATTTTATTTTTATCAAATAACTTTTTCTTGGTTTTATTTTCCTTTTTATTTTTCTTAGTCAATCATTTCTTGTTTTTTGCTACAATTAAGAAATGGAATATTAATATTTTGTCTGATAAAAAAAAAGGAATTACCTACTTCTTTTTTTTGGTAATACTTTTTTTTTTTTTTTTGGTACATTGGTAATACTTTTCTTATGTTGCATAAGAGAAATATTATCTCCTCTACTCAAATATAAATAGAAGAGAGAAAAAGTTGGAGGTGAGAGAAAAAATTCTTGTAAGATCTATTTGAAGAAAATGAGTGTAGAAGATAATACTTCTTATGTTACCCTTCTTTTTTATATGGAAAATTTTATTTAGACTAAATTATTTTAAAATCAATATAAGAAATTTTTTAATTTCTTAACGGTGGGACCCACTTTAAATATATATGTAGAAAAAAAATTTCTCTCATTTAAAAAGAAAAAAACAAAGCCCGTATTTAATTTGGGATATAACACTTGCATATTATTCTTTAATATTATTAGATTATGGAAAATATTTAATATAGTCATGACTCATCTATGATTTAACGCTCCAAACCAATAAAAATTGAGTATTTTTTGACTTGCTTGTACAGATGAGAGAGAAATTTTGTTTGACAGCTGCTCAATGGAAGGAGTAGGTGTGACAAGACTACTATATATGCTCTCCCTTTTAAGAGAGCAATAAATAAGGTAGGTGAAAAAAAATATCTTATCTCTTTAATTTTTATTAATTATTTTTTTATTATTTTTTTTCATTTGTAATAAAATATGGGATAAATTATTCTACCTATCTTTTTTTTTTTTTTTGCCTATCTTTACCTAACTGTTCTTTTGCCTAGATCAAAATTTTAACTAATCTTTATCTTTCTCTCTTCTCTTGATATTCTGATATAAAGATGTTAGGGAATGATAGCCAAATGTAGATAAAAAAAATGATAGATAGAATAACTTAGAGAAAAATGTGTATCATTTTAAAGAATGTAAAGTTGTGTTATTTTAGGTGAGAGAAATAGATAGATAAAGGAGGAGAGAGTGGACAAAAAAATATAAAAATGCGGATCCCATCTCATGAGAGTGAAATGATATAAATTATGTCATTTAAAACTACAAACATTTTTCCCAAAAACTTATCGCATGAAATATATAAAAAAAGAGTAAAGTGTTTGTCATTTCAAATGACATAAAGTTGTCGTTCTAAGAGAGAGATCGACACATAATAAATTTTTTTATTTAAATTTTAAATTAAAAAAACCATCCATTTTTTCTCTATTATAATTTTTATTTTTTGTATCTGTATCTTTCCTAAAATAACATAACTTCACCGCACTTAAAAAAAAAACACTCACACACAAAAACAAAGATTGAGAAGAACAGAAAAGAGAAGAAAACAAGGGTTCAATCCTTACATTTTCGGTTAGCGCCGACAAGTGCACTTTGATTGATTTCAATTTCTAGGCACGAGGAAACTGCTTGTACTTCGCTGAATTGGGATATCTCTTTCAATCACACTCATCCCTCTCCCTTTTCAGAAGAACTCGCTTTCTCACCATCTTGCGTTGTATCGGTACATTCATCTTCTCCTTCATTCAATATTGGTTAGTTACACATTCTTCATAGCATGAACTGTGAAAATGCAATTTTGGGTATTTATTTGGTTCATTTCATTAGCACTTATCTATTGGACTATGGTTTCTGTAAAAATGCTCTGTGATTGTTCAATGGGTTTCTAGAATGTTCTATAATTTTTTCCAGCCAAAACAATGGGCTTAGTTTACTGCCTTAATTATTTGTGGATGTTGATGGGTTGGATACACTATTATGGTGTTGAGCTCTTCTTTACTATACTACCCTAATGCCTATTCCCATGTGAATTTGCTCAGTGCAAGAGAACTCGTTTTTATGGCCATTGTCCTGAAATCAACTTGCTTCTTGCAATTGAAGAAACCTGAGGCCAGTTTCCAGATTTGTTTTTCCTCCAAGAAAGCTATAATCTCAGTAAAAAGACACACTCCAGTTGCTGCTATCAGAACCATGGAAGCAGTTGGGCTCTCTGAAACATTCATCAGACTTAAAAAACAAGGAAAAGTGAGTGCTTCTTGTTCTTGCTGTCTGGGTTCCACGCATGCCATGTTTTTTTTTTTTTAATACAAAAAGTTTAAATGGGGTTAGACACCGGTATTCCACTGGGTTCCAACCTTTTTGAGGATTTCCGAGAGAAATTATATATCACCCACCAACAAAGTCCTCTCATCGGCCAGCGGGGTATGAACCCATGCTCTTATGGGATATGGACCAAACCCTTAGTCAATTGTGGCCTTTGTTGGCTTGCCATGTTTTCTATTCTGTGTCACATTTCAAATTGAATAGTTCTGTATTATATTACCTACTTGTTTTTTCATTAAATTATAATTAATCTAATTTGCTGATTCCGTTTTCTATGCTTTGTCAAATCAATAATCTTTCTCTTCCTAGTTATAATGGTTTAGTAATTATCTTTATATGTTGGTTGGTTATTTTTGCACCATATCAACTTTATTGCAAAGAGGTATTGAGTCAGAGCATTACTCTTGATTGCCAAATGATTATTTTCTAAGAAATATGTTTGTGTCAAGGTGGCTTTCATCCCATACATCACAGCTGGTGATCCTGACCTTTCAACCACAGCAGAAGCACTGAAATTGCTTGATTCATGTGGGTCTGACATAATTGAGCTAGGTGTTCCATACTCTGATCCTTTGGCAGATGGTCCTGTTATCCAGGTTTGATGCTTTCTTCTTTTGTAGTGATATTTAGTGCTGCGTGATTCTCAAACTGATAGGTCTTTCTGTTCAGGCTGCTGCTACCCGATCTTTAGCAAGGGGGACTAATTTTAATGCGATTATTTCTATGTTGAAGGAGGTAATTGTGCAACTCCTTGCCATTTTTAATTATTACTTTCAAAAGCTAATGACAGTAAGCCCTGCTGCAATAATTATTTTTCATTCAAAAATCATTTATTATTCTTTCCTCTTGTCTTCTTTGATTGACAAGTTAGCTGTGCAAATGTCTAAAGTTGCTAATTTTTTATGAATTTTGAATAAGTGATGTCTATCCTCTACTATTGTTCCGTAAGGGGAAGGATATGCTGTTAGACCGTACGATCTTTAAGCCCTCAATCCCTGTTACATCGTGCTATTAGTTTTTGTTAGGGAAAAAATAACTTGAATCAACACTATTTTTGTTATCAGTGATGCACTTATGTCTTGTAAACTTACATAAATTGTGTTGTTTTTGTTGCGTAAGATAATAGATAGACAGTTAATATCTGATGCTATTGTTCATAATGAGGTGCGCAGTGCAAACATATTTTATGATACTCTTATTGTCTCTATTGCATCTGTTCATTTCATTCCATTCATCTTATTTAAACACATGAAAAACCTTGATGTATTTGATCAATTTGAACCTTTGGAAGGATATCTTTTCTGTCCATTTTACCTAGTTAAAACAATTATTCTAAGGAGGGGGAGTTCAGAAACCTTCTCTTATTTGCTTTGTCAAGTGTATCTTCTCTTAGATTCATGGACTGATTATCCTTCTCAATGGTTGATTTGGCAGGTTGTTCCGCAATTATCTTGTCCAATTGCACTGTTTTCTTATTACAATCCAATACTAAAGCGAGGTACTGAGAGATTTATGTCCACCATAAGAGACAGCGGCATACATGGTAAGACTCAACACAAGTTATGGTTTGCCCCATAGGATAGTAGTACATTGTGCAATACTGCTAATGGGTCTATTTTCTAAACAGGTTTTATGATAGACAATGTCATAAAATGTGTAGACAAGATAAGGAAGCTGTTCCAAATACTAATGCCATGTGCTATATTTAAAACTATTTTTTTGGCTTTTGCTAATATAAATCTCTTATCATTATAAAAGAAAACATCTCTGCACTCTCCTGCCAAGTCCTTGTTAAGGTTTCTATGTCAGCTACATCCACATTGGAATTGCTTATGAAATAAAATCTTGTTGGAATTGTTTGCCTTTTTCCTTCAGTTTGGTAATCAGGTTAATATTCTTTTCTTTCCCATGTATGCAGGGCTTGTAGTCCCAGATGTTCCTCTGGAGGAGACGGAAACTTTAAGGACAGAAGCTAAGAAGAATGGAATTGAACTGGTTTGCTTACCTTTGATATACTCTCTTTATTTCTGGATTTCAAGTGGATACCTTGTAATATTGCTCATAATGGTAGAGAATTAGTGGTAAACTTCATTTGTTTGTTAGTAATATGAATTTATAAATATGAAATCCACAAGTTAAGCACAACAAAGGATTCATGGTAGTGATTGTGGAGCAATAAAGTTTTGCTACGAGTAACATTGCTGTATTCTATTGCATTATACTTTCTGTAATACTATATATAAATTTCTTGGTGGTATATATCATTTAACGTTTTCTACTATGTTTTCTTTTTAATGTTGTTTGGATAAATTAATCTATGTCTACGTGTATATATCTAGTTGATTTGGTATATTTGCTTCTTTGATGTCATTAAGGTACTCCTCACAACACCCACCACTCCAACAAATCGAATGAAAGCCATTGTTGATTCTGCGGAAGGATTTGTGTATCTTGTAAGAGCTTTCTTAATCATTATAACTTTTTCTTTTTTGGTTCCTCTTCTTAGTTCTCATGTAATTTCATTTACTTTGAACCTGCTAAGCTCTTGCTTTTAGAGTATGCTTGTGATTTTCCATATAATTTCTTTCTCACTATTTCTAAAATCATAAATAAAATTCAATATCTGTTGTTTGTGTTCCATTTTTTCAAACAGTTTATTAGTGTATTGTGTGTATGAGAAGATGAGCTATTCACCAATTGGCTACCTTCCTGTAATCAGAAAGCATTTTTTTTCATTCTCAAGCATTAAACATGCTACAAGAACTCTGGACTTATTATAGCCTCATCTCTAAAGATACCAGCATTGAACCCAAAATGCCAGTTTCTTTTAGTTATTTATCTTTATTTTATTCATTTTCTCTTTAACATTCTTTTTGCACTCTAAGAGATAACTATCATTTATTCTAGGAGTTGATACAGTTTCCTCTGACAATATTTGTCTCTGCTCTATTTGTGCAGTTTCATAATTTTACGTGTTTTCTTGAAATCAAAATATGAATTACTAAAATTACTAATATTTTAGGATGTTTTGGCTTCAAACATTTAATTTTCATGTGTTTTGAGAATAGAGCTTGGAAAAGGGATTGATCTTCAAACGAATTATTTAATTCATGTGTCAAAGTGTTAGGAAGTTGACAGTGACAACAAGTCCCCTTAGTCCCAAATTCTTGGAAATAGGATACAAGAATAGTGAAAATAGAAAATATATTGCATAACTTTCTCAGGTCAACGTCTGCCAGCAAATGTCATGATCCATTTGTTGATTTAAATTATAGGTGAGCTCAGTGGGGGTCACTGGAGCCCGAGCATCAGTTAGTGTAAAGGTTCAAACTCTTCTGCAGGAAATTAAAGAGGTTTGTTTATTTAATCTTGGTCTCCACTCCAGTTGTATGTTGAGAAGTCTATCACTTCTGAAAAGTTCAACTCTCTTTCCCTCCTTTTTAAACCCCTCCCATTCTCTTTGGTTGCAAGAGCTGGCAACTGATCAATTAAAATTTATACGATACTCTACCATAGAACTTGGTGAATCTTAATATTTATGCTCGTTGTTGAGTGCTTTTTCTTTTTTCTTTTCTTTTTTTAATTCAGGCAACAACTAAGCCTGTGGCAGTTGGTTTTGGAATATCAAAACCTGAGCATGTGAAGCAGGTTAGTTCTCTGTACATATTTTAGTATCCTTCTGCCTCAATGTGGTTAATAGTCAATCATATACTTTGTTACAGGTAGTGGAATGGGGAGCTGATGGTGTGATTGTTGGCAGTGCTATGGTGAAGTTGCTTGGTGAGGCCAAATCTCCTCAAGAGGGATTGAAAGAACTGGAAAATTTCACTCGCTCTCTAAAATCAGCACTTCCTTGAAAATAAGCTTTGAGAGTTCTAGTAGTTACCATCTTCACAGATAATGGACTGAATAAGGATATGTTTGTTAAACTATTATTATTATTATGTCCGTGGTATATTATTATCAAGTTTTTGTTCCTTTTCAATGATGATTGGATCTCTTCGTTACTGGAAGTGAATACTGAATAATGTCCCATTAGAGATTCACCTCCTTTCTCTGCTGAGCTGTGTCATCTGGTTCCCCCTTAAACATTTCACCTCTTGTATAAGAGCCTCCCTAATACATATAAACGCTGCCTGTTCTTTTAAGATTGGTTAGTGACCGCTCTCATTGAATCATCTTCATCAGCATCTTTAAATAAATTTGTGCAAGAGCGTCTCTATAAAAAATTGTGCTGTTAGCCACTTTTACTGAAAGGACATGGGTATAATATGTAGCATTGTCACAAACTCAGAAGTCATCACCAAGTACTAAAAGTCTAAAACGAATTTCTTCACAAGAAGGGATTTTTTTAATTAGACCCGGTGCATCTTTTCCCAAAACAAAAACAATTTCTTCCACTTAAATCCTTTTTTTCTTCTCAAATTTTCTCTCCGTCCCTTTTTTTTTCATTTTAGGACAGGGACTTCAAAGTCCCGGTCCATATAAAATAAGCTCCACAAGAAGACTTTCTTGTATCAACAATATTGATAGTGTGAAACTTTTCTCCATTATTTTCCAAGATGGCTGGTATTACTCAATTATTGAGAAATATTTAATATGATCTTGGCCCACCATTTGATTCAATGGTCCGGGTTAATCAAAACGAGATATTTTTGTATATGTGGATCCAAAGGAGAGTAAGAAAAAATTATCCAAGTGCCCCTCTCCTAATGGAAGGAGCACCTGCTTCCAGTGCACATGAGATGATCTCCAATTATTGGGACAAGCACATCTTTGAGTTTATTTAACTTCTACACAAAATGCTGAAATAATTGGTTTACATGATCAATCTTTTACTTGCAACAACTAAATGAGAATTTGAATCTAATGTTCTTCATTGATGGGCGGTCTATAACCTCATTAAAATCTTCAATCTTCACTGAAGATAATACTTTCTTCGAGTCTTAAAATAGTCTCTTTTAATCCTAGTTTTTTTTTTTTTTTTTTTTTTGTAGTGAAAAAGCCTTCTAATCAAAACATTACGCCAAAAAAAAAAAAAAAAAAAAAAACTCTAAATAAACTAATAACTATTTCATGACTTCATAGAAGTAAACATAGTAAATCCGAAATAATAGGGCTAAAACAGAATCACATAACGCGAACTAGTAATATTCCGTTCAGAAATGACCAAGACGTAAAAGAATTAAAATAATTTATCATCTAGTTGTATCATATATCATCATTTATTTAAATAATCACCACAAAACAAAGCCAGTATTTGAGTTACTATAGAATTCACAAGGTTACGGAGTAAAGTCTCGATCTACAACAATCAAGGACAAAGCAAGCACTCTTTGAAAAAGCTTCAAACCAAAAACATAAAAGCTTAGCGTCTCCCAGAAGCCACAGATTCAGAAGAGAAGAGGTACTTCACTCGAGAAAGAACTGAATCATGCGCAGGATCATAAGGATGGTCTTTGGAAGGAATCTCCAATATTGCAGGAACAGGCTTGTTGTAGCTATCAACTAAAAACCTTATCATATTTGCAACCTGAATAATGAAACAAGAGCATTACATTTTTAACTCAAATGTCAGATTTGAAGTTCATGGATGGGTGCAGGTGGAGATTTCTTGTAATAAGACAATCACAAGGTTAAATTGTATAAACACAACATTAACAATATAATGATTTCAGCACAGTGAGAATGATTTTGGCAGTTTCCTCAATAAATATGATGAGTATAAGTATGCAAACATGAGCTATACATTATTACTTAAGAACTTTTAGCAATATGCTGATCATTTTGCTTCAGCAATGAGCATTAGTTTTGGTTAGAATGACATACTTACGCACACAACAGCCTGAGACATTTCTACTTTTCTACTAAGTATGAATCAGTCTAGGGATACAAAAGTAACTTACATATTGGCTTATCAACACTATTGCAATATCTTCCCTTGCTGTGAACTCTTTGAATGCATCTTCAATTTGTTTGACAGTTGTTTCTAAAAATGACAACCCAAGAGGAAAAAATAATAATAATAATAATAAAACAAGCACACTAAAGTACCAACATTACTCTCAATGGACTTTTAAGTAATAAGCAGAGACAGCAAAATTTTCAAGAAGACACGTATTTGGAACAAAAATGCCAAGGTTTGGAAACCCAATACTTAATAAGACACATAAATGGAAATCTATTCAACACTTAAGAAAGCAGGGAATCACAACTTGAAATTAGTTATGCATAAACGAAGTTTATAAAAATGAATGGAAGAACAGTGGCATACTTGAGTCCACAATGAGGTAATTTGTCTTCCTTCGCAAGTCAACATTACCCACTCCAGCCAGCAAAAATCCAACTACAGTGTCCTGTGTTAAACTCCATCAGGTAGTTATTAGGGTTCAGTATGTCTAAAAATATCAAAAATCAGAACATACACTGGATCGGGGAAAATAGGACGTAGTGAGGAATGTATAAGACATTATTTTCTATTTCAAATAAAACCATAAATAATCATATCACTTGTATATATCATTGCAGACTTGAAGCAAATTAGCTAGGACAGTATTAACTATGGTTAACACTTAACACACATACATCTAGAAATCAAAAGGCTGTCTAATTTAAAGTTCATGATGGTTTCAAGTGTTTCTCACATAAAATTTGGTTTATCAACAGGCGCATCTCAACAAGACCAATCACAAAAATTAAACATTGAATGTTTTTCTCTTTCCTGAATATTTCCTTTTTCCTTGGTACAATAGAAAATAGAAATTGAACAGTTGAACCCAGGATTGTTAACCAACCCCCAACCCATCACCTAAGCTAAGCTAGATGGCTGTCTTACACCTTAAACAGTTGGGCAGAGAGAACCAAAAATAGATATTCACAGAAACCATTTAAACATTTTAACTCTGAAGTCACATAAATGCCATTCTTACCTCATCAGCGATCATAGCAATGAGTGCTGCATTGTTTGTGGGAATTTGAACTCTGTTGGCCATTTAATTCGAACGATGGTACTAAACAAGACAAAGGGAAAAAGAAAAAGAGAAGGAAAGATAATATGTTAAATAGTCATCGGTATTAGAATATACATAATATCTTGAGTGCAAAATATGAACATTCCACAAGCAGGTAACTCGAAAGAAATAGTTCAGAAATGGCCAGTGAAGCCTTGACTTAACAAGAGATGCAACTACATAAAACTGAACAACTTAATTTTTTTTAAGGGCTAGCAGCACAAGGACAAAACCTGAAATCAGATCCATTCCTTCAAATTATATATATAATCAATTTAAGGCCTTAGTAGACATGTGTTGAACTCAACCAAAAGGTGATACTTTGAATTGTTTATCAGTGGAGTGTTGAGAAACATGGCAAGAGCCGCAGAGAGAATCGGGAGAAAGTGAAAATAGAGGATCTGAAATTTACTGAACGAGTAAAGTGGGTACAAGAAGCCAATCATGTAGCATATATAGAGCAAGAGAAAGTAACTACCTAATAATCACCTATTGACTCAGCAAACTAATCTAACTAATTTCTAACTAAGTTAACCAATATCTAACCATACTCCAATTACGGTAATAGCCCCCCACAAGCTGGAGTAACATCCCCAGCTTGAGATGAACAGTACAAATCCGTATCAGTCAATAACTAATTGAAGATACATGTTGTAATCAGAGCATGCCAGCAAAAAACCTAAAAATGAATGAGATTGGCAACGGCCAAGGTGCATTGCTCCGAGAGGTCTTCCTTCAATCTTTAGGCCTCTTCTAGCATTTTCATGGCAATCGTCCCAAGCAAATTGGGGTTCCATAGGCCTCCTTGCCATGCTCTCAAATTTAGTAAAACTAAGATTTCCATTTATCCATTTAGTAAATCTCAGGTTTCCCCTTCTCATATTCTCTCAATTTTCTCACTGGCTCTTGCCTTGTTTCTCATCATGGAGTTCCGACTAATAAGTAATATGTTAAAAAGGGCTCACCATGAGCTTTATCAACTAAAAAAGACTAATTAATCATCCAGAACCTTATCAAGTATAAGGATAGTGTTAGAGACCCCAATTTCAATGAAACAAGCAATTACTTGGAACAAATTGTAAAACATAATGTGGTCTCTCCTAACAACCAAACAAAACATTTATATTTAATAATCTAAAAAAAAAAAAAATGATTTATGAGCAAAATGCATTAACATCATGAAAAAAGAAAAGAAAAAATAAAACAGAAATTAAACTCTTACATGGTAGACAGCGTCAAACAAGAACAAATCTAAATGACAATAAAAGAAATCCAAAACAAAACTCAAAACTGGGGGAAACGATCAACTTTTTTTTTTTTTTTTTTTTCTAAAAAGAAAAATGATTTTGTAATCTGGGTTTAATTTTTCACTCGAGATATATACTAAATCTGAAAGAAAATCCTATAAGATGACAACACATTCAAAAGCGTAACTATGAGGAAAGAGATGAACAACGCTATGGTAAACAAACAGCCCTTTCATATATCCAATAAAAATTAAAAATTGCGGCAACCCATTTATCCAGCTACTGATTAGTTCATCACAGACACAGAATCTACACTTCAAAATTCAAACATCAAATAACTGAAAACGAATGTAGAATGAAGCTTACTGAATGAATGTTATGTTGTTTAGGTTTGAGATTGACAGCACAAAACCAAAGCAACCAACTTGATCGTTCTTCGATTGAATACACAGATAGATGGTAACAAATTATTTATATCCAATAAGATTTGGGGAAAGTGTGGTTTTAAATTACACAAATTGTGTTATTTTATATACATAAAGAATCATATCTTTATATTTATTTATTTTTGTCCTAATTTTTTTTAGTGAAACGTGTTTTTGTGTGTTTATGAAATGACATATATTTTTTTCATAAGATTTAGATCAATTTTGGAAATATTGTTTGTTTATTGCTGCTTCCTTTTAAATATTTATTTATTTAATTTTTTTTAAAATACCCTTTATTAGATATTTACGTATATCAATTGTTTTTGTCATATTTATAATTGTCTAATTTTTTTATAATTATAATAATTAATTTTAAATAGAAACGAGATTTTTTGACACCAATCTAATAATTATAATTTATTAAATATTAGTAAATTAATTAATATGTATGACTCAATAAATCATAATCATCAAAGATTTTGTCCCTTTTAAATAAAGAGTAAAAAATTATGTTCAATTGATTTCATTTATAAAAAATAATGTTGAAATAAAATTTTTTTTGGTATCCTATGATCGCAATAAAGTTCACCAATACCCCGTGGTTTATTCCAGAATCACATATTTTTCTGTGATTTTTTTCTTATCACATATGCCGATGTGATTTGCAAAAGGGTATATTTTTTATCACATATGCCCCTGTAATTTTTTATTTTTTTACAAAGCACAAGGGCATATGTGATAAAAAAAAATCACAGGAACATAGATGATTCTGAAGCAAATCACAAGGGCATTGATAAACTTTTCCCTAAAAAATATGTTAAAAAAATTAATTTGTTTTTCAGAATGATATTTTAAAAGTGTGTTTAAAAAAATGATTTTGTTTAGATGATAAAGTAAAATCAATTATGAAATGTAACTATAAATATATACTCTTTTAAAAAAATTATAAATCTCACCTAAAATCAATTCTATTTTAAAAAATAAAAAATAATTCAACTCACAGTAAAACTAATTTAAAAATATAAATTTTAACGAAACATGTGAGTTATCCCAACCCAAGGAGTAAATGAGCTTAGGAATAAGCTCTCATTCTCCCTCTTATTTATCTAATAGTAATTTCATTCCACAATTCACCTTTCCACCATTCTTTTTCCCTTTTTTTTTTAATTCACAATTAATTCAAACGTATAGTTGAAATCATACGTCAAACTATACTATGAGTACATGAACTCAACTCAGCTTCAAAGTTAATTTCAGTTTATGGAGATTGAATTTCATTCATATCCATGTTTTTACCCGTAACTTGATTTTCCATCATTTGTATTGTAAGTTGAAAAAACAGTTTCCCATACACGAGAGATAAGGCACGTAGTAGCCAAAAGAGAGTAAATTGTAAATCGAAAATTTAGATAGATATTAGAAAGGTCATAGATTACTTATTTAACTTAAATATATTATAAAGAACATTTTAAGAGAATAAAAAAGAGTTCATTGAAGAGAATTGATAATAAATAAATAAGAATGACATTAGACACTAATCTTTATGTATTTAAATATAGGATTTATTATTTATCATATTATAGAAAATAAATTTACCTCCTACGCACATATAAAAATATATAAAATTCATATTTTCTCTTTTTCTCTCTTTTTTTTTTTTGGTAGAAGTTTCTCTCTTTTTTTAACATTGAACTACATGGTCCCTATACATTAATATGTATATATGAGATAAAATTATTTCCTATAACATTATAAACATTAATCCCATAAATATATTCATTATTTTCACTGTCATTCGATTTTTATTATCATCATTGTGACTAGGGGTGTTAACGAGCCGAGCTTTGGTCTTAATGGGCCGAGCCTGTGTTCAAATGTGTCAGACTGGCCTTAGCCTGTTACCTGTTACGAATATAATATCAGCACGTGGCCTGGCTCATTTACAAAAAATAAAAGCCTTGTTTAGCCTGTTTAAAAAAAATAATACAAAAAAAATTTATCCAAACAAAATATACAATCAACAGCACTAGTAATTTCATAAATATTCATAAATTTAATGTATATCCAAATAGCATAATATAAAACAAAATCATTTAAAAAGTCTGTTTAATTAATAAAATAAAATGAAATGAATTGAGAAGAGAGAGAGGGTTATCACAAATAGTATAAAAAATAAATAAAAAATAAAAAAATAATATATTAGGCAAGCTTGAGAGGCTCTAAGGCCGAGCTTTTGAATTGGAGCCTGATGCCTTTTTATTAAACGAGTTTTTATGCAAATCCAAGCCTGAGTTCAACAATCAATTTTAGACATGTAAGCTCAGGCCTTCACGAGCCGAGCCAAAGGCCCCTAGCTCGTTTAGCACCCCTAATTGTGACCAGTGTTATAAGAACCAGACCGGCCCGAAAATCGGCCCATCAACCGATCCGGTTACAGCATTGGACCCGCTTAAGTAGTCGACCCGGTGACCCGATTTTTTAAAATTAGTTACAAAATATTTTTTGCACCCTCCTCATTGGAGTGAGGAACGCCTTCTCATATCACTAAGCCACCATCACTAGTTGAATAAAATACACCATTTAATATATTTATTATATAACTATTAAGATAAGAGAATATACACCATTTAATATATTCACGTAGCAGTCAATGCACGATCATGCTGATGCTTGGCCATTCAAGGAACCAGTTGATGCACGGGATGTTCCTGATTATTATGACATCATCAAAGGCCCCTAGCTCGTCAAGCACTACCACGTCTATTGAAGTGTTCCTACTGAATTTTGGAACCAGACTGGAGCTGGAGGCCCGATGCCACCTTACTTTGAAAGTGAGTTTCAAGCCTGCATAAAAATCCATGGATGTAAGAAACATCACAGATGATATAAAGGGCAAGGAAAGGAAAAGAGTAAATGGGAGGTTGAGGCAGCATGCCTTGTAGAACATTTGTAATAAATGGTTTCTGGAGAATTATAAGTGCGTGCATTCGCAAACATTCTTCTGACATCCGCAAGAAACATCTCAAATGTGACGTAATATTGCTCTGACTCCACCCTCTTAGTCATTGTCTTCAAATCTGCGCTCACATTAATTTTCATGGGTGTTAAGTATTAACCTTCTAGGTAAGTGAACTTATGCTCTCAGTAACAAAAATGAATGTGTGTGTGTGAAACTAGGATTTGACCATACTATATAAGAAGCAAGAGCAAAAGATACAAGCAGCTAAAAAATGAGACGTCAAAAATAAATACCAGGGGAGGAAATCATAAGAAAGAATGCGAATTAATAAAGGGTCCTTTTTTTCCTGATGCAGTGTCAAAAAAGGGTTCTCTGTCTCAGAGACAAAAAAAGGGACCAGCTAGTTTTTTTTTGTTTTTTTAAAATAAAATTTACCACGACCCAACATTGTATTCTGATAAAAAAAAAAAGATTTATGTCTGTGGCAGACAATTATTTATGCAGCAACTGCAGAAATAATTTTGCCATTACAAAAAGCAATAGATAACTAAAGCTGTTACCGTGATTATAGAAACAGGTAAATTTAACATGAAATGTACGGATACTTCTTACCCATTGGATCTTTGATGATGTCATAATAATCAGGAACATCCCGTGCATCAACTGGTTCCTTGAATGGCCAAGCATCAGCATGATCGTGCATTGACTGCTTAAAAGATAAATCCGGTTTTAAGAATTAATTTGCTATGGATAAGGATCTACTTATTAATGCTCTTGTGAATTTGCAGCGTTTTCAATTATGATACTGAAAGTTAAATGACTGAAATCAGTGAAGAACATAGAAGCAACTTGCCTTTAGAAGGGAACGCATAAACGCAGTCAAACTGTCGGTGGAACCACTTAAAGCTCTGAATCGTGAATGACCCCACTGATCAGGAGTCCATCCAGCCTCTCCTGTTATTGCATTCAACCATTCATCATAAACATTAACCAGGAAATTCAGAAAATTACAAGACAAAATATGCAAAAAATAAATCATCTCTCACTCGTAAGGACATTATGGGTCAACTTTTGGACACCATCCCAGTTGATAAACAAATCTATTATGCTATGTTTGGATGGGAGGGAAGGAGGGAGCAGGGAGAGGAACAGTGACCTAATCCTTGTTTGGAAGACTTTTAAGGAGGAAGATGGAACGGAAGGGGATGCGTTCTCCCCATCCTTACTACCCCTCGAATTTGTGGGATTTGTGGGCTAGCATGGAGGCATGGTTTATTTTAAATTAAATAACAGGAAATAACCTTCCTCTAATTTCAACTCCCCAAAACAAAGAGAGTTCCCCTCCTTTACTTAAGATCAAAACAAGAAAAAGTAACTCTCCCTCCCTCCCTTCCCTTTGCTCAAGAACTTCTAAACATAGCATTAGTTTCTTATATCATAAATCACAGGAGAACAGATCTAGAAATGCAAAAACAATTACTATAACAATTAACAACACTTGAACTATGACCAGCATATGAGACCAATAAAAAGTTAAATAGTGAGATGCCCTCAGCATTAAGCAGCGAAAAAGTTAGATGCCATGCACAAGGTCTTGAATGGGAGGTGGACATCTCATCATACAAGGAAAAGTTAACAAGCCTACAAAACATAAAAATAATTGACACAAGGCATGCTATGTAAAAACTAAAAAATATTGGTAAGTCGTTAAACTGAGATCGGAAATTAAGTACTTACTCAAACCAGGGATGTCCTCAATAATTTTTTTGGGAATACCAGCTTCTTTCTGCATATTGTGTTGATCAGGATGGAGAAAAGTTAATATTCCATACGCTCTCTAATCTTACTGATATATGAAAAAGAAGAAAAATGCAACTTTGGCTAAAATAATAGATGATCCTCTCCCCTACGCCCAAGCCCTACACATTGTCAAGAAAGTTGGCATACATGCATTGCACATGGTATAAGTGCAGTGCAAATATGCCAAATGCAATCTGCATTGAGCAGATAATACAATCCTAATTCAACAAAAATCACTTAACATAGGAAAAACTTCAAATGCTATACATGAATGATCGAAACATACAAAATGAAGAATGCCTTATACCTTCTGAAAATCAATTCCAGTATAAACAATGTGACAGTTTGACAGCTCTCTGATCTTTTCATCAATTGCCTACCATTATAGCCAACAATAATTAAACACATCATGAATTGAGAAAAACATGTTAAAAATTATGAAAATTAAAAATAAATAAGGCGGTCAGAAGCAACACATCAGACAGAAATAAAATAATGCATGCAAATATATATAAATGATTGAAAATACAATCCAAAAATCTGTTCCCTTTTTTATTTTTATTGATGGGCTGTGTTGAGCTTTAGCATTAGCCTAGTCGGGACAAGGTAAAACCTAGTTATCATGTCTTAATTTTCACAAAAAGTCCAGCCTAACATGTCGATAATGATGGTTTTCCCCTGATTTTCTCTCCGAAATTTAGATATGAGATGTGAAGTTCTGCCTGCCACTTGTTTTTGGGGGAGAAATACCCTCTCTATTGACTAACAGAGAATTACAAAGAGCATTTCCAAAAGAAATTGGAATTTAGCAATTATAAACTAAACTAAATAATGAAATTCCAATTCTACGTATTAGAGATTCACTTACTGTTTAGTTTTTACCATTACTAGTTTATTGTTGCTGCTGTATTTTTACGGTGACTTAGTGTAATAATATGTTCTTGACTGTAGTAGGTTATCTACCCCTAGTTAGTTCAGACCTATGGTTAGATATTAACCAAATTCTGTTGTGTAGTTAGGTTTAGTTTAATTGCTGAGTCATACTTCCCCTACTCCAGTGGCGGCCGGTCATAAAAAAATTTATTTCAGTTTTTTTTTTTTTGTTGCAGGTTCTTATTTGTCTCTTGATTCAATATATATATTAGGAGTAAATACCCTTTTAAGTTTCTAGCAAAAAACATGATCCCCATTTTAATCCCTTACAAAAAAAATTAGTCTCGAGGTCCCTAAAAAATTTAAAGTGAATCAATTTAGTTAAAATCGTGGTCCTTCACAAATTCAAAAAAACCTACATTAGTCTCTCAAAAGGTTTGAATTTCATAGGGACCAAGTGACTAATTTTATTTTATAATGGACTAAAGTGGAGATCGAATTTTTTGTTAGAGACAAAAAAAGATATTTATTCTTATATTAGTTAGCAACGTACGGAGATGATTAAAACAACGTAGCAGCGCAAATTGATTAGAGAGAAAACTTATTCTTCCTCCATTGTCACGTTCCCATTCTCATGCTCTCTTCATCCTTTGTTTCCTTTTTCATTTTTATAAAAAGAGAGGATTGGTTGCAGGTCTGACATTCTCAAATAAGTTAATATCTAGAGACGAGGCCTTCACTGCGATTTTGCTTGCCTTATGCACTAGTAATGTTGATTTTTTTATTCACCACTATAAAATAGAATGATGATGTATGGTAAGATTTACGGGGGAATAATTGGTCAAACTATTGCCTGCAGCTTGTTATGGAAGCAAATAGATTATGAGCGGGTTTAAGCATGGATTTAAACTTTCTTTACAAAAAAAAAAATTCCGAGGGTGCTGCCCCCGAACCCGACCACTAAATGTGCGGACATAAAAAAATTTTCCTGAGTCCGCCACTGCCCTACTCTAGGGGTGTCAAAACGGGTCGACACGACACGAATTCGACACGACACGAATTTGACACGACACGAATACATCAACACTAACACGACACGAATTTTTTACGTGTCATTTTCCCAACACGAACACGACACGAATGTTTTTGAGGGTCAACCCGAACACGAATTTTCGTGTCGTGTCACGGGTCGACCCACGTGTCAAAACCTATATTGACACCCCTACCCTACTCTACATAAAGAGTATGTGGCTTTACATCAGTGTAACATCTATTCATTTTATATAGAGATATTTTCTGATCTTTCTCGCTTTCTGCTTTCTTCTTCTTCCTTCATGGCTTCTTCACAGAAATCTGTTTACTACAAAATCATGATTGCACTCCAGGTTACATTATTGCCTTTCAAAGTTTCAAGGGTGACAAATGAACTCCTAGTTCTAGAGTGACTAAATTGTTGAATCACGTATCGTGAATCATATCGAATCACAAGATTCAGACACATAATGAAAAATCACTTAAAAATATATAATATCATATAAATCCAAATTTCAAAAAAAATCAAATAGAAAAATACATAAGTAACCAAATTTAAAACCAGTTGTTTACTCATCAATCATCAAGACTAATGTTATCACTATCAGCATCTAGCATTAGTATAACTAATTCATCATCCTCTTCATTATCACTATCAAATTGGGATATTTTTAATTTGTATTTGGTTTGGGCATTGGGATTTTTGGAAATCCTTTAATAAGTAATTGAGTTTCCAGATTCTCCATAATTTGAATCTCGCATTTCTTGTTCATTTCCCTTTCCAAAATCAGACTGCATTTTGAACCGCAAATATTGATATGATTTGCAATACAAAACGTAATCATGCAATTCCGCAATTCAAGGAGCGATTCATGATCTGCTCCGATTCACATTTTATCCGTATCGTTTTTGTTCTGTATCGAATCATATTGTGCGATACTAATGACAATGATTTCATCTGTCTTGTGGGAGTGAATGAGTGGACACCTTGCCAGGCCCCATTTTATCATGGTTCCAGATGCAAAGTTTTTGACAACCCCCTTGCACACCTTTTGCAGTGAGTATGCATATGTGGATGAGAGGACAAGCTTATAACAAATGGGAAAAAATAAGGTCTTTTTTTTAAAAGAAAAACCCAATTTAAGTGAAACAGGTTATTATTTTAACTGAAAGAAATATATTGAAACTTTAATAAGAAAGTTCATTAGTGTATCTTATCATAATCTAAGATAATCTCAAATAATGTAAAGTAAAACTAAAATACTAACAAGTAGAAATCATCTTACCTGCCTTTGACGACGGATCATAGGTGACAATTCAGTGTAAGGGAGCTTTGGATCAATCTTGCATTCCATGAGAATCCCCCCATCATAATCCTTTATATAACTGAAATGACAATTAATTGTAATGAATTCTCATAGACAATAAACAAAATAACAAAAATACAACTACGTAAATAAATAGTGAATGATGAAATTATTATTCTATGGGATAAAAAATCAGAATCTAAATAAAAATCCCTGTAATTGGTATTTTGCAGCTCTACACTCCTAACAATCAAATATAAATTAAACAAAATCAAATTATAAAATTTTTCATCTTTCTTAATAGACACTACATCTAAAAAAGAATCTTAAAATGAAGGACCTAGTGAGAAGTGCTGCTAATAGATTTAAGACAAGGAGATTGAGTATATCCGTACCCTTGCCATCGATCTTTCTCCAAGTGAATCTCTTTTGTAAATCCCTGTAGAACACACTCAAACATCATTGCAATATCTAAAACAGTATCCAGTCCATTCAACAGAATGGCATTTTTACAGCAACCCCCCCCCCCCCCCCCCCAAAACAACAACAAAAACACACACAGAAAAGATTCCTATATCACTGCTACTGTATATTGGGACTATTCTATGCCAATCAGATTCCTGACAAACTTAAACAGGAAATAGACAAATCTTTGTAAAAGTTTTTCCGCAGGAAAACTAAAATTGACAGCTTCCTCCTATCAGCAAAAATAGGTTCTCAGCAGATGACTTAACAACTATTATCTAGATTTGGGAGTGTGCCTACCAACAAATGATAGGTTGGCCTTCATACTATGTAATTTGTAACATACTATGTAATGCTAGTTGGTAAAATTCAGATGTTCTTCTTTCATCTTTAACCAACCAAGCCAACAAGGACCACAGAGAAAACCTTCCTTGACAGACAGAAAATGAGTTTTTTAACCCAAATTAGGCATTTTCTCTTATGTACTTTTCTCTTTTATTTATTTTTATTGTATTTTTAATTTTTAATTTTTTTCTATTTTTTATTTTTATTCTTTTTTTTCAATCTTTTCTTACTTATCATTTGGGTTTGTTGAGATATATAAAACTATTAATGTAGCCTCACCCAATAGCTTAAGCTTTTGGGTTCAATTGGTTCTTTACATTGGCCACCAACCCTAACTAATTTCAGATAAAGATATTCTTGATGTTAAATCACATGGCTGCACCTTCTCTACTGGCACAATCCAAGAAGGATGAGCCAATGCAAGGGTGGCACAATTCATATTGCATCTACACATGTTAGAAATATGGTTTTTTCCTGCCATGGAACTTGGGCAATCCATGTTATTCAGGGAAATTGTTCAAAAAATGTATTGTTTTTGTAACAAGTTCGAGAATTTGAATATGTTTTGGTAAAAAAGAAAACTCCAAAAACTTGTTTTCAGAAAGCAACATATCTTTCTCACTACTGGCCTCAGGTTTATCAAACGAAAGAAGAAATAAATGCCCAGATAATAAGGATCTTAAATATCGATAAGCAGACCTGTTTGATAAAATAGCCAACAGCATTATTGTCAGCATATGTGAGAAAATGTGTCAACCCATCTTTATCACGTGCATGCTGTTTTAAGTGATTCATCAATCTGGTACCATAACCTTTTACTTGCTCATCAGCTGTAATTGCACAAAAGGCTATCTCACCAAACTTCTGGCTATAAATCATAGAGCACAGCAGTATTAGTATATAAAACCATAGATTAACCTTGCAAGTTTAGTTTTTTTTTTTTTCCTTTTGAGGGAGGGAGGGAAATGATATCACTAAGTGGGCAAGAAACAAAAATAATGGGGCAAAACAAGGAAATACAATATCTATTTAAAACTTAGGTCTTTTCTACAAAAATATACGTCCAACTTAATCCCAGATTATTCACTTAAATGGACCTTGAGGAGCATTTTCATCACTGCAACCAAAGTGCAAATTTGCATAGGACAATATAACAATAATAAAAACAGAGAGACAACAGTTCACCATTTTATAAGCTAATCTTTGATAACAAGTAATAACTATGTAAACCTTAAGTTTTCAGATATTAATACAGGAAAAATATCAAAGTAATGAAGCAAAAATAGAAAATTTCAGAGACAAAACATAATCAGAGACTGCTAGGATCTGAAGAAAAAGTAGATATGGAGACAAATTATTACCTTGCATATGGGCGATATGTAATGCCTCCAACAACATGATTACGCCTTATGACCATTACAGACTTATGACTCCTGCAAATTTAACATCAAGAGAATTTAAAATTATAAAGACAGTAAGATAAAACTCAAGGATAACAGGGAAAAACTTACTTAAAAGAGCTTGTTTAGAATATAGAAATCTATATTACAGTTTCAAACTCTTATTTAATGAATTAACTAGTTCACAAATCACTATGAACTGACCATGCTGGCAGACTAGAATTTGTATAAAAAAAATCTCAATATATCAAACAACAGATACCTCCTAATATAATATCAAAGTTTAATCTTAAATAAAAGAACAAGAGATGATAATTTAATGCCCTTCGTTCTTATTCCCTGTTTCATATTTGTTTGGTCACAAAGGAGGAAAGAACAGGTCATATATGGCAGTAAAATGATTTGGTAAACCATAAAAGCAAGGGGCCCCCCCACCCCACCCCACACTTCATAGTTAACTTGAAACGTGTCTGCTCATATTTCTACATCTAAATTTCAGGATCTTAGTTGCAATGGAGAAAGAAAAAAGGGGGGAGGGGTCGGGGAATCATTATCAAATAAGTTTTCCAGTTGTTACTATATCCAAATGTAAAAACTTTACATTCCAAACTAGAAACGTTAATGAACAAAAATTGTAAGACATGCTTGTTTGGGATTCTGTTGGGCAATCCAAAATAATTCTCCTACATAACCTTGGAGTTATTTTTGCTTTTGGATGGAGAATTAATTCTCACCAGATCCAAAACATACACAGATTTATTTCAGCATCATATGAGTAAGAAATTACGCTGGGTACTTAAAATATTGTTGGCATTACCTATCCATAAGAAGTCGGACAATGTACTCCTTGGGCATATTTGGAAGTTGCTTACCAAATATATTCTTCAATCCTATCAACCTGAGGAACAACAAAGTCAACAATGGAACTCGTTATCACTGACGATCATTTTGCTAATTATAAAAATACTGAGTTTTTATTTACAAAAAAAAAAATACTGATTTTTTGAACACAAAAAAATTGCCAACTGAATTTCATCCAGCCAGTTCCTGTGGGTAATGCATAACTTACATGCAGGGACGGATGCAAAGGGGGGGCGAGCAGGTGCCTTGACCTAATAGTTTTTCATGTTAAATGTATATACTCTTGCACCAATTTGTAATTGGCCTCCTACTATATTTTGAAAATTTTAAGTAGTCATTAGGGTAATCCGAATGTATGTCATTAGATTATTTGGTCTACTAGCTCAACAAACAAATAAATAACACATTTTTTTGTTGAAAGAGACACACACAGATTAAGTGCATTATGCTCAACGTTGATAGATTAAATTTATTTTTTAAACTACCAAACTTTTATTTTAATATCATAACTTTTAAACAATTACTTTGATATTCAAAATATATATTGGCATCACATCGGTCCTCTATTTATTAGCACCCAAATGGCCCCTCAATGTCAATGCAGACCTATGAAGCACCGATTCCGACACGGTGTTTTCGATACATTCTCGCTATGGGATGTCGATAGGATACAATACGTTTCCGATACGTTGAAAAAAAAATTAAGGAGTATCGGTGCTTCATAGATGAAGACCATCAAAGTGGTCCTTCAAGTTCCACTAAATTTATCTTTCAATGGACTAGAATAATTATATTAGTTGCCATTTGGGAACCAATTTGATATCTCCTATAAAAGGTGGACAAATTTAATATCAATTACATCTTTAAAATACAAAAATATATTTTTACTCTAACTTTAATAATTAGCCCCCTCACTAGTTAAATTTTTGGATCCACTTGAATATAAAATAATATGTTGTATATTGATCTAATTCAGAGAGTTACAATATATAGAGACTCTAATGGGCTTATAGGAAAGACCCAAACCTAATACAATCAGAATATAATCAGAATAATTACAGACTAATCATATCTAATTATATCTAATCAGACTAATCATATCTAATCAAACTAATCATATCTAATCATATCTAACACTCCCCCTCAAGCTGGTGCGTATATATTGTGAGCACCAAGCTTGTTACAAATGGATTGAACCCGAGGACCTCTAAGAGCTTTAGTGAAGACATCCGCGAGTTGATCAGAGGAGTTGACGAAAGCAGTCTTGATTTCTCCTCATTGAATCTTTTTATCGAATGAAGTGACAATCAATCTCTATATATTTGGTCCTCTCATGAAAGACAGGATTAGAGGATATATGTAGCGCAACTTGATTATCACATATGAGTGTCATGGGTTGTTTCTGTTCACAAAGATGAAGTTCCTGAATCAACTGCTTTAACCAGATTAACTCACAGGTAGTATTTGCCATTGCACGATACTCAGCTTCTGCACTAGACCGAGCAACTACAGGTTGTTTCTTGCTCTTCCACGAAATTAAGTTTCCTCCAAAAAAGACACAATAGCCGGAAGTAGAGCGCCTGTCCGAGGGTGATCCTGCCCAATCAGCATCTGAATAACCACAAATTTCTGTATTTCCCTGATCTGAATACAACAAACCTTTTCCTGGTGCTCCTCTGATGTATCGGAGGATCCTCACAGCAGCATCCCAATGTGAATCACAAGGGGAATCAAGGAACTGACTAGCCGTACTAACAGCGAAAGAAATATCTGGCCTAGTCACAGTAAGATAATTGAGCTTCCCAATTAGCCTCCGATAACTTCCAGGATCAGATAACGGCTCCCCCTGTCCGGGCAATAACTTGACATTAGGATACATGGGTGTATCAACTGGTTTACTCCCCAACATACCAGTTTCTTCGAGGATATCCAAGGCATACTTCCTTTGACAAATAGAAATGCTCTGTCTAGATTGCGCCACCTCAATTCCCAAGAAGTAGCTTCCCAAGGTCCTTTGTTTGAAATGCACTAAATAAATGCTGTTTTAACTGACGAATTTCGTCTTGATCACTTCCAGTGAGAATGATGTCATCAACATAGACTAACAAATAGATGCACTTGTCAGGAGATGTAATCCTATAAAATACAGAATGATCAACTTTACTGCGGATTAAGCCAAACGCCTGAACGGCAGAACTGAAGCGACTGAACCATGCTCGAGGAGACTGCTTGAGACCATATAAGGATTTTTGAAGACGACACACTTGTCCAGACTCTCCCTGAGCAACAAAACCAGGTGGTTGCTCCATGTAAACTTCTTCTTGCAAATCACCATGAAGAAAGACATTTTTGATGTCAAGTTGAAGGAGTGGCTAGTGACGAACAGCAGCAAGGGCAAGAAATAGGCGGACGGATGCCATCTTGGCAACAGGAGAAAAAGTATCCCCATAGTCAAGACCAAATATCTGAGTGTAACCTTTGGCCACCAAACGAGCTTTGAGGCGATCAACAGTGCCATCAGGACCAACTTTGACAGTGAATACCCATCGACAGCCGACTACTGACTTTCCGAGAGGAGTAGGAACAAGATCCCAGGTGCCATTGGAGTGAAGTGCTTGCATTTCATCAATCATCGCCTGGCGCCAACCCGGATGAGATAGTGCTTCACCTGTGGTTTTAGGAATAGAAACAGACGAAATACTAGAAACAAAAGTAAAATGTGGTGAAGAAAGTCTATCATAACTCAAAAAACTATAAAGTGGATGAGGGTTGCGAGTGGATCGAATACCTTTGCGAAGGGCAATAATCTCTGATGAAGGATCCGGAGGAGAAGAGTCGACTGGAGCAGGCGGTGAGTCAGTAAGAGTCAAATCTGCTGGAGGCGCAGGCTGACGACGCTGATAGGTGAGAAAAAGACGGTCCTCAGGGATGGAGGCAAGGGGTAGCTCCTCCGAGAGTCACCTGCAACTGGTAAAGACAAATCAAGACAAGGAACAAGAAGAACATGATCAACTTGTGTTATCTGAGACGGGATAGAATGAAAAGGTTGTTGATCAAGGAAAGTGACATCAGCTGAAACAATATAACGCTTGAGATCAGAAGAGTAGCAACGATACCCCTTTTGAAAACGAGTGTATCCAACAAAAACACACTTGAAAGCTTTGGATGTTAACTTATCTTTACCTGGAGTAAGATCATGAACAAAGCACATACATCCAAATACATGTGGAGGTAGAGGATAGGAAGATGCTCCTGGAAATAAAACACTATGTGGAACTTCATTATTAAGTACGGAAGAGGGCATGCGATTGATGAGAAAGCAAGAGGTGATTATAGCATCTGCCCAAAAACGGAGTGGAACATTTATGTGAATTAGTAGGGTACGTGCAGTTTCAACCAGATGTCTATTTTTACGTTCGGCCTCTCCATTTTGTTGTGGAGTGTGTGGGCAAGTGGTTTGGTGTATCGTTCCACGTTTCTCCAAAAAATTAGAAAATTCAAAAGACACATATTCTCTTGCATTATCACTGCGCAAGATTTGAATAGAAGCACCAAATTGAGTAGTTATTTCAGCACAAAAATTTTGATAAATTGAAAATAATTCAGAACGATTTTTCATTAAATAAACCCAAGTACAACGAGAGAAATCATCAATAAAGGTGACAAAATACTGAAAACCCAAAACAGACATTGTTCGACTCGGACCCCAAATGTCAGAATGAACAATAGAAAAGGGAGCATCAGCTCGTTTATTGACTCTATTAGCAAAGGAGGAGCGAGTGTGCTTTCCTTGCTGACAAGACTGACAATTTAAAGACTTAAGACTAGACAAAAAAGGAACCATATGCTGAAGCTTGGAGAGGCTTGGATGACCCAGACGACTGTGAATTAGCTCAGGAGACTCTGTGAGAGAACATGCTACTGGAGAAGGTGGTGCAATCAGATAGTAAAGACCTCGTGACTCAATGCCCGCTCCAATCGTCTTCCCCGTACCCGGATCCTGCATAGAGAAGGATTGTTTAGAGAAGGTAACAATACATGAAAGAGACTGAATCAACTGGCTAACAGAGATTAAATTAAAAGGGATGCCGGGTATATAATAAACAGAGGTCAAAGCTAAAAAGGGAGTTGGGTTGGCTTCCCCAATTCTACGAGCAGGAGCCTTAGTACCATCAGCAAGAGTAATAGAGGGTAAATTATTAGAATAAGAAAGTAAAGTGAAAAGATCCTTATTACCACAAAGGTGATGAGTAGCACCTGAGTCTATTATCCAGGGTCCAAGAGATGATTGAGAAAGGCAAGCAACATGATTACCAGTGCCTTGAGTAGGATGCTAAGAGGAAACCTTCTTGAGAAGTGCCTCATATTCGGCACTGGAAAGAGTAACTGATCCAGTAGGAGGTGGTGTAACATCAGTCTGAGCAAAGTTGGCAGTCAGTGGTTTCAAGTGAGGGTACTTCCTGTAGCAACGTTCTTCAAAATGTCTAAGATTCTGGCAATAATTGCAACGAGGCCTCTGTCCGCGGCCAACCTGTCCGCGGCCACGACCGCGACCACGTCCACTGTTCCAAGAATCATTGGAGCGAGAAAAGAATGCAGTGGAATCGGTAGCTGGCACATGTGTGGGAGCTGTTGGTTTGTCCTTAAGATTCAGAAGGCGTTGGAAAGTGTGTGACAGGCTAGGAGTCTCAGCACTGGTTAGAATATTCTCACGAACACTTTCTAACTCCTCAGAAAGACCGGAGAGAGTTATGACCATAAAGAAGCTCTTCACCTGCTTCTTGTACGCAGAGGCATCTGCAGCATGAGGTAACATAGCCAAGAATTCTTGCATCAAAGAACGTATCTTACCAATATAAGTTTCCATTCGAGACTCTGGAGATTTGCGCAATTCCATTATCTGAGACACAATTGAATAAAGCTGTTGAATGTCATTGGTGTAGAGGTTTTTAGCTTCCTCCCATACGTCATAGCAGGTCTCAAAGGAGATGAAAATGTCTATAATCGTCCGATCAATGGACTGCCAAAGGATACTTAGCAGTTGAGCATCAATCTTGTCCCATTCAGATGTCTGGTCTTTTGAAATATCGGCAGACTTAGTTGTGAGATGTGGACCGTGCCCCTGACTAGTAAACCAGATCTTAACTGAGGTAGACCAGGTCTTATAAGTAGCAGATCCGGTCAGTTTCATTGTTGTAATGGATGGGGTAGTACTGGAGATGACTCCAGTACTATTTTTGGATGTGCAGGCATCAAAAACTTAAATAAAGATGACCAGAAACAAATAAAAGGACGAAATAAACACAGTTTACCAAATAAAAATAAAACAGACTCAAATAGAAAATTCCAGCACTATGAACAATGACGATGAATAGTGGGTTATCACTGATATCAAAAAATAAGAATGCACAGCACTTGAAACAATGACCGGAAAGCAAAGAATCACTGATATCTTCTGAACGGACGAGACCCACAACGAATGAAGACCAGATCGGAGAAGAGGGGAGGAAGGCGAGCTGTTCTGTCTTGGAGTGGCCGGAAAAAGCCACCGGAACAGTGCTCACGCGCCGGTGAGAGGCGGCGCGTGAGGACCACGCGCAGAGAAGCTCAGCCGCATGTGAGGGCGCGTGACTTGGCCGCCGGTGATGGGCCTTTTGCAGAGTAGATCGCCGGAGGAAGGGGGTTCTGATCGCGTGCTGACCGAGCTAAAAACTCGCCGGAAAAGTGCTCTGACGGCCTGAACAGTGGCTGACGGTGGCGGATGGTGGTTCCGATGACCGTTGGAGGTGCTGACGCGTTCGGAAATTGCTCGGAAGGGACTTACGGTCCTTGATGTCTTGCCGGAAGGATGCACGGCAAAGAAAGGATGACTCCTAAGCAGTGGGCTTAGGTTTTAAGGCGAAAACAAGGTTTCTAAGCGGAAGCGAGGGTCCCCAGAACGAAAGAGCTCTGGTACCAACTTGAATATAAAATAATATGTTGTATATTGATCTAATTCAGAGAGTTACAATATATAGAGACTCTAATGGGCTTATAGGAAAGGCCCAGACCTAATACAATCAGAATAATTACAGACTAATCATATCTAATCAGACTAATCATTTCTAATCAGACTAATCATATCCCCCTCCCTAAATGAAGTATAAAGCCTAAATGAAGTATAAATACTTTATTTGCGGAAATGCTAACAAGGAGATGAGTAATGCAGGCAGGGCCACGTAAATGTCAAAGACAAGAGAGGAATATATACCAAATCATATGTTCATCAATGCCATCATTCGAATAGCATACGAATTTGAGCCTTCCTGCTTCCTCCTGAAAAATTTTCAGATGACCACATCGTCGTCACAACCATGAACCATGAACACCAATCACCTCAAAATAGTTCGTAATTATTTATTTATTAAAATTTAAACCAAGAGACAAGAAAAAGGGAAAAGCCAAATGTGAAAACTATTATGTTACATTGTGAGTTTTAAAACAATTTTCGAACATAATTTACAAATAATTATTCATATTTTTTCTTTATGAAATTCATGAATGAGGCTAAAGGGGTTGGTACCTCTTTCCTGAGACTCTCTTCCCTAGCGCTGTAAGCACCACTAGTTTGTAAATTATCAGTAAATATCTTAGTTGCGTCCTCCTTAACCACGATGCCGGGGACGGACCCGCCGGTGGCGGCGGCGCCGGCAGCACCAGTCCCGGCGGGTGCAGCGTCTTTGGCGCCATCGGAATTCTCGATCTTAACGTTGGAATTATCGGTCTTGAGCTTGGTGTTGCGTGCAGCGGAGGGAGGGTTGCTGAGCCTTGCAGCGGTGAAGGTACGCATGGAGGAATCGTTGTCGTTGTCGTAGTCGTCCTCGTCGTCGTCCACGACGGCGTCCTCGGAGTCGTCATCGGAGTCGGAGTCGGCGCCGCGGGCGGAGATGCTCTCGAGGTCGTCATTGGAGGTGAGGGCGCCGTCGCGCGTGTCGGCGGAGAAGGAAGAAGGGGGAAAGGGAGGCGCGTGGTCATCAGACGCGAGCTTGCGCTTGTGGATGGAAGAGGTGGCGGAGGCGGAAGCGGAGTGGGAAGGTGAAGGGGACTGAGAGCTGCGGGAACGGAGGGTTCCTCCGCCGTGCGTCTCCATTTAATTACAGTTAGGGTTTTGTTACCAATTATTCGACCTGTTCCTTAAAGTGATCAAATGTGCAGCGCTACTCTTAACTCGTCCTTTGTCTTTTTTGTTTTTTTATGGGAACCAATCTTATTCACCGGAATTATGGAACCGGAAATATTTATGGGGAAAAGTATTTCTCCAGGTACTAGAGATAAAGTTATCTTTAGTGAGCTCAAAATTGTAGGAGCAATTGCATCTGATCTGCGGAAGCGTATGAGACCATTGTGATTTGAATGTATATGGATCATCATGCTTTTATCATTTACCTCTTTAATGAGACAGATGTGAGATGATGTTGTTCCTCACGCTTGAGCTCTTTTCGTCACAACCTGAACTCACGAACTGTTGAGATCCAAGTTCTCTCGAGGAGAAAGGGGAAGGTAAACCTTTCACGCTATCTCTCGAGGAGGAAGGGGAAGTGTGTGGGCACAAATCAGATTTGAGCTTGCCTCTTTTCTCTCTCAAAAACCTCAGAGACTTAAGTGGTACTATTTATATGGGTTCCAAGAAACCCTAGTTCTTGAGCTCTAGGCTTCTTGGGCTCTTCTCATACTAATAGCTCATTTGGGCTTTAGTAAAAGAGCAAACCCAACAATCTCTCACTTGCTCTTTTGAAAACAAACTTAAGTCGAGAAACTCAATACCATGTAACCCATAAGTCATCATCTATCTGAAAAAACACTTATCCCTTGTCTCAAGCTAGCTTGAGGATCTACCATCTGTTATTAATCAAGGCTCTTGATAATCAACGAATGATTATCTAATTCGGTGCTACTCCACTAAAAGCCCGAACTTGAACTTCAAGATTAACAACACTTATAACATGAATATGCATCGCCCCTTCGTAGAATGTCTATAATTGATTGACAAGTTTTCTGTAACTCAATCAATTATTTATTCCCTTAAATATGATAGTTTCTCTAATGGATTACATGCACTAGTCAGTGTCTTTTATATTCAAGTACCGAAACATATCAAGGGGACATATCCTACAAATTCCAAGTTGTTTATCTCACAAATACCGATAATCAAATAATCTCACTCCCAAAATACCGAGTTATTGGCCGTCAATAGATCGAACCTCACCCGTTGGTAAATCAAAGAATGAAAACTATTTGATTACCTATTTATAATAAACTCAGGATTAAGAGCAATCACATAACTGTAGTTAACTAGAGATTTGATACCTTATGACAGAAAAACAACCTTAATCAAATGTCTTCTTGATCCTTTCAATGTGAATATTAATTCACACCAATATTTTACAATGATTCGGACAAAACAATTTCATAAAATATTGCAGCCTAAATAAAGTGCCCAACTTTATTTAACGGCTGTGAATCTATTCATCAATTGTGAGAACCTATGATCATGTCCTCCATGAACGTATCCATATGATCATATACTCCACAATTTGATCCGGACCTTGATGTTTGTAAATAGTGCGCAAAATAAATAAATAAAACCTTGTTTATGATATTCAGACAATGATTTCATTGTTTCATCGTCTTACTCCAAGAGCACAACGAAACCAATAACTTCCACTCGCTTAATGCAAGTCTGGGATCCTTCTAAGACCCAAAGAAGTAACATGCCTCTTGAACACAAGTTCAGACAAACTCTTAGTAACTGGATCTACAAGATCCACCTCTATTCCTATCCTAGCTGAGTAAAACTCATAGCTCGATGTTGATTTTCTTAAGTCAATATCCTCTTGAAATAACTAAATTTGTGAAAACTTAGCTTTTCAAGACTCCCACTAGAATATACCAGCATATTATCTCTCGTTCTCTAAAGATACTTGGGTACATGCTTTAACAATAATCTTAGTGTTCTTCTAGATCCAGAATGGTACCATCTCACTACTCCCACTGTGTGACAAATGTCTGGTTTAACGTCTGACATGATATGCATGAGACTACCTCTGCCAAAACATAAGATATCCTGCTCATGCATTCTTCCTTCTCAGGAGTCTTTGGTTACTTCTTAGGAAAATGAATTCCACATTTGAGAATTTATAATTCTTCTCTTAGAATTCTCATGTTGAATTTTGGCAAGAGATTTGTCAATGTAAGTAGCCTGAGGTGATGCCAACAACTTATTCTTCCGGTCTAATAAGAGTTTTAAACCAAGAATATAATTGGCTTCTCCAGTACTTCCATACCAAAACACTAACTTAGCCAACTCTTTATGCTTGATATTACCTCCACATTGTTTTCAATAAGGAGCATATCATCTACATAAAGTACCAGAAAAACTAGTGTCTTCCGTTGAATCCTTTACATACAAATACACATAATTCATCAAGGTTCTCTCAAAATCAAAATTTTGATAACCTGATCAAAATTGATGTTCCAAGACCTGGATGCTTGCTCAAGTCTATGAAATAGACTTTCACAACTTGCATATCGTGTGTTCCTACCAATTTGCTATAAACCCTTCTCGTTGTTGTATGTAGATATCCTGACATCCAACTCCCAAAATGAAATCTCATAATTGAGACTTATAGCAACTAAGAGAATCTGGATAGACTCAAGCATGACGTCTGGCAAAAATTGCCTCCAAGCTAGCTTTGAAAGTTTTCACCTTCTTGTCCATCATTTCTTTGCCTTTTATGTTCACATGCACCTTGTGGGTTTTACCCCTTTTGGTGTCTTTACTATGACCGAACGGAGTTGGAATACAAGTATTTCATCTTATTGTTCATAGCTTGAGCAACACTTGATCAACAACATCTTCTAGTGCATTATCGTAACTAGTAGGATCAATGTCACTCAACAAGAGACAACTTGAGAGTTAACAAGGTTCTCTCCCACTACAAATGGTGGATCTTCAATTTCTTGAGGATCCGCTTATTCTTGATATTGTTCCTCCACATGTCATACTAATATTTCTACTAGTTTCACTTATATATTGTCATGTTGAATTTCTAATTACGGTTCTCTTGTTTGTTCACCTAGAGATATATCTATCCCCTCTTGAACAATCAAGGGAACAGTAGATGAAGCTCATAGAGATTATGGAAATTCTTGATCTGAGATAAATTTTATTAAGAATAACCTTACTTAAGAGCTTATAATTTCTCATCTAGTCCTCCTTTAAGAAAATCATGTGAGTGCTCACTTAGATTATCTTGTCCTTAAGACTAAATAAGAAATCATCCCTAATTCTTTTAGGGTAGCCAAAAGATTTGCACTCTTGCATACAAGATTCCATCTTATTTGACTGTTGTTGTAGGACGTGTGTCGTAGCACCCTAAATCTGAATATGGTTTGATCTGGGCTTGCACCCTTTCCATAATTTTTTAGGTGTCTTTACAACAAACTTTGACGGAACCAAGTTAAGAAGGTACATTTCCTCCTCTTAGGCATCTCCCTTGAACAATATTGGCAAAGATGAATAACTGAACATGATCTTCACCAAGTCTAGAAATGTTTGATTTTTGCATACTGCAACTTCATTCAACTAACGCGTTCTTAAAGTTGACAGTTACGAAAATTATCCCCTCTTAAATCAGGTAAGACCTGAACTTACTAGACAGATAGTCAACACTTTAGTCAGACCAAAGTGTTTTGATTTGAACACCTACATGCTTTTCTGCCTCAGACTTAAACCTCTTGGAAATTTCCAAAAGCTTTAGACTTATGGCGCACTTGGTTCATCTGTCCAAATCCAGAATAAACAATCATATAATGAAGTACTCATCACCTCTTCTGGTCTGAACACTAATTGGTCCACATACATTAGTATGTACCAGTTCCAGTTGAATAGTTGCGCAAATATTTTTGGCCCCTTGTAGGATTGCTTGGCCATTTTACCTTCCAAATAGGACTAACATGTAGCTTTTAGTTAAAAGATTCTTGAACTTTCAGTCCCTCTTTTAACTTAAATATGTTTCCTACTTGAGGTAATGTGACTCAATCACAAAGGCCAAAGTTATGTTTCATTTGAAACTTTTATTTCTTTGGTGAAAGTTCTTATTCATCATCCTTTCCATTCAACATAATAAATTAAATGAGATATATAACTTAAGTAACAAAGACAACTTAATATACCGGAATAAAAGAAGATGAACTTCTTAATGAAACTGAGGAATTAAATTGTACTGTTAAATCATGTTTCCACAAAACAACTAACAAAAATAAAATTCATCTTTAAATCCGGAATAAATAAACAGTCATCAAAAACTAAAGTCATAAATTATCAAAAGATAAAATAACTTGTTCTACTGCTAATGCAGACACAAGCTCTCCATCTTCAAGCTTAAAATATCTTTGTCCAATGGTAATAGGCCCTCTATGCTTGAACCACTGCATAGAGCAACAAACATAGTTAGTGGTTCCTGAATCATAGATTCATCCACTATTTTAGCCTTTTAAATTACCCTTACCTTTTTCTTTTCATTACCTCTGGGCAATCTTTCATACAGTGTCCTTTCAGTCTGCACTTGAAGCACTTGCCTTTCGGCTTCTTCATTGCAACTGAGTTGACAACTGATAACCAAGTCATTTTGTTCTTGTTACCACCCTTGGGTTTCCCTTTGGATTTAACAAGACTTTTAGCAAAACCTGCACCAACTGCATTCTGTCTAGCAGAGCTGCTAGACGCAGAAAACATGTCATTAAGAGTCTGAAGCATTTCTACTCCACTCTTAATCATGTACACTTGCTTCTGCAAGTATTTGGAAAGACTGACAATAATATAGCAGCGAACTACCATATCTGCCCTCTCCCAATCTGAGAAATGCATCTTAGTTTCTTTAGATGCACTCTGTACAGGTTGCCATGGCTTTGGTACGGTAAGGACAAATTTCAGCTTTTCATGTTTAAGAACAATATCAAGGTTCCTTTTTCATTCTTCATAGTTTGTACCATCTAGAGATTTTTGACTCAAAATCATGGCTAAAGGATTGAAGGAAGTCATTTTCTGAAAAAACATATAAAGCACACAATTACGAACAAATAATGCAATAAACAAATGAAGTACAAGTATATTCTCATAACTACTCTTGTTTATTGTTAACAATCCTTTAGTTTATCTTTACAAGGCTTACACCGGG